CTTAGTGTCATGGTCCTGGCTGGGTGGCCCATTGTAGTCACCAGCTTTGTTTGTTTGTCTTACCCAAGGATTAGTTACCAGGAAGGGGATGATGAGGGTTGTAGCTGTGAAAACCTGACTGGTTTTTGGTTTTTATCTTTGTAAACTTCCTTCTGCAGGTAACCCTGCCAGCGGGGGACAGCATTGTGGGCAGCTTAAACTCAGAAATTAGGCTCTTGTATTCCAGACTTGCAAACCATCCTGTCTGCTGGGGGTTGAGGGATTTCACCAGTTCTTCATATGAAAATATCACCTCCTTAATGCTCCTTGAAGTGGATTCAGAGCTTCCCTGTTTACTACAGCTCAGCTTTCTAGAGTTAAAAAGTTGTTAACACCCCTGTGGAGAATGCCAAAAATCTGCTAGTTCTTTGCATATAAGCACTATGTTAATAATAGGTTGCCACACTCCAAATGTTGTACTAAGGTGTGGCCTTAAGAAAAATTTGTGGTTAGACTGCAATTAAACAACTCAGGGAATCGAAACTGATTTTCTCTTTAGTTTCCCGTTAGGAATTACCCTTCTTGTATTGCTGTTTTGTGACTCATGAGGGGTTTTTGTTGATGTCTGAGGAGTGGTAAGAATTGAAACTGGGGACACAATACAAAGCCATGAAGAAACTGTAAGTGTGTAGGCAGTGCTGGGATCACAGATGAAAGAAGCTGAGTGTGTCTTAAGGCCAAAAGAGGCCGAGTAAACAGAGATTACTCAGTTTGATTGCTTTGATTACAGTAATTACTCAGTTTGATTGCTTTGATTACAACAATCAAAGTTTGCAATAAGCACAGAACTCATCTCCCAAGTAGCAGTTCTTGAAAAACTGGTGTCAGATGAACACAATGCCAAACTCCTAAAACTTTTTAACTTCTTTGAGTGACCAGAAATGCACTGGAGGAAGATGCATCAGAGGCAGGTAATGCTTGTGGCTCCCAGCCTGCCTGGGCTCATGCAGCCCTGGCTCCATGCGAGCCACAAGGCTGGGCAGAGCCACTGGGGCACAGGGCTGACGTGGTGCCTCATCCTGCAGGTTTGTACACCTGAGCAATGGGGAACATTTGGTTTAAGGGAGCCCACTTTCCCCTGCATGTGTGCTCCCCAGCAGTGCTCCTGTGATCCAATGCTGTCTCTCAGCTGAGGCACAAGGAACCTGGGCTGCAGCAGCTTTACTGCAAGCACCTTCTCTGTCTTCACTTACATGTCATCATGCCTCATGGTTCCCAGCCACAGAAAAACAGCTCTGCAAGGGTTTAGTCACACACATTTCAGCTAGTTCATGTGTAAATATGGGGCTCAAGCAGCTGAGGTTGTGGAGCAAACTGGTGCCAATTCACAGGTGGCTCTGCTGTGAACTTTTCAGTTCCTTGGTGGCAAGTTTGTAGCTCTGCTTCATGGAGTCCACTGTGACAGTGTTCACAAGGGTCCAAGGATGAGGGGAGAGATGAGGATCTGACTCCATGTTTCAGAAGGCTTGATTTATTATTTTATTGTATATATTATATTAAAACTATACAAAAAGAATAGAAGAAAGGATTTCATCAGAAGGCTGGCTAAGAATAGAAAAAGAAAGAATCAATAACAAAGGCTTGTGGCTTGGACAGAGAGTCTGAGCCAGCTGGCTGTGACTGGCCATTAATTAGAAACAACCACATGAGACCAATCCCAGATGCACCTGTTGCATTCCACAGCAGCAGATAACCATTGGTTACATTTTGTTCCTGAGGCGTCTCAGCTTCTCAGGAGAAAAAATCCTAAGGAAAGGATTTTTCAGAAAATATCATGGCTACATCCATCAAGGGGAGTCAATCCAGTGGTGGATGCCCCAACCCTGGAAGTGTTTGAGACCAGGTTGGACAGGGCTTTGTGCAACCTGGTCTAGAGGAGGGCTCTCCTGCCCATGGCAGGGGCAGTTGGAACGAGGTAAGGTTTTAAGTCCCTTCCAATCCTAGCCATGAACACCAGGAAAGTGCTACAAGAAACATGTAAAGTGAAAAAATAAAGAGCCCTTACACAGGAATAATTCCTCTTCAGCCTGAATTTGACCATGTGCTTTGAGTTTTGCTTGCCATTGCAGGTGGATTCGTTGGCATAATTTTGGGTTTAGTGCCACGTTGCTTGAGCAGAGGTGATGGTTTCCTGTGTGTGCAGCAGCAGGCAGGGATGGGGAGGCACTCAGGTCACCTCTATTGCACACAAACAAGTCCAAAAATAACTTTTTCCTCCTTTCCCCTTTTTCATGTGTTTTGTTTCATTATGAAGGAATTTGTGCTATTCAGAACAACACCCTAGTGCAGTATTTTTTTCTTTTTCTTCCTTCTGCCCAAGAGTGAAACTAGTAATCTCTGTCCTCTTGCTGTGTCATGTGTTCATCTCATGTTACAAAGTCAGCAGTTTTTTGATTGCATCCAAGACAGATGTCCTGTTCTTTCAGGACAATCCTCCCTTGCTGTTTTTTAGGCCACAAATGCAATGAGCTACCTCTTAATTTATTTTTTTTAATAAGCTCTCCAGATGTATTGGGCCTGTGGATAGGATGTATGTCCTTCAACTCCTTCCCCTCCCCACAAAGCTTCTTTAGGTAGAGCTATATATAGAGTGGTTTTTGACTCTTCTTAGAAGCGTAGAATGGACTGGTGATCAATTATTCCTTAAAAAGCCAAGCACCAGTGACATTTATGTGTCACTTGTGTAGAACAGAGGAAATGGAGAAAGATGGACATAATTTTGTATGGTTGCATTCCCTAATGATCCGGCCTGGTTTTGCCTCCTCATGTTGCTTCCAAGAACTAAGTTTCCTCTAAAAGGGTGGGACCCAGCCAGTTTCGTTTCAGTGCTGATGGATCAGCACTGAGATACCCAGAGGGGATGGAGAAAGACTCTCAGCCAAATGAAAATCAGACAGCAAAGTACATATAATGTTTCCTAACTAAAGCCAAGAAGTAAGAAAGCAGGATGCTTGTTTACAAAGGAAATTACTGTAGCATGACAGTAAAATGTGAGCTTTTTCCCTCAGAAACAGAGACCTCAAGAAAAAAAATGAAGGACTATTTATTACTAAGATGATGGGAGGTTTTTATAGTCATTTTTTTCTCCCCTCTACACATCTGAAAGGGAGAAGGAAGTGGGGAAGAGGACACAGCAACTCCAGATATGCATTGCATTGGCTTGTGGCTGGCTGCCAGGTCACTCAGCCACGCTCTCACCTCCCCTCCTCAGCAGAGTGGGGAGAAAATACCACAAAACAGCTTTGAGATTGAGACAGGGAGATCACTCACCAGCCACCATCATGGGCAAAAGACAGGAACTGAGGAAGATAATTTGATTTCCAATTAAAAATAGAGTAGGATAATGAGACACAAAACCAAAACTAAAATCACCTTCTCCCCACTCAGCCCTTTTGCTTAAGCTCAAGTTCATGCTTGACTGCCCTTTCTCCTCTCTCTGCAAGTGTTGCAGGGGGATGGGGAAAGAGGAGGGGTAATTTGTAATGCTCTGTCCCTGCTGCCCCTTCCACCTCACGTTCTGTCCCTGCTGCAGTACGGGATCTCCCCACAGCTGAAGTTCCTGCCGGGATCCTGCTCCTGTGTGGGCTCTCCACGGGCCACAGCTTCCTCCAGGGCATGTCCAATTGCTCCAGCGTGGGGTTCTCCCTGGGCTGCAGGGTGGATCTGCCTCACCATGGCCTGCACCACGGGCTGCAGGGCAATCTCTGCTCTGGTGCCCGGAGCACCTCCTGCCCCTCCTTCCCTGGCCTTGGGGCTTGCAGGGCTGTGGCTTCTCCTCCCAGCTACAGCTGTGCCACAGTGCATTTATCTTGGAGGCCTCTTGAGCCAGCTCTGCCCAACATAGGAACAGCTTCTGGTGTTGATGTACAGAGGCCACCACTGCCCTCCTTGTTCCCCAAATGTGGCCATGTAGACCCAGCACATGTAAGCATACTGCTGAGGAATAACATGTAACCTTCCCCGTGGGAGCCCATGCAGCATGGCAGTGAACACAATGTGAGAAACAATAGCACGTGCTGGGCATCACAGAACTGCTGCCTCACACAGGGAGCTTGGAGGTGTCCAGGGGCCTGGATCTCTGGGATGCCCCTGTTGGTGCTGGTGATGGCAGTGGAGCGACAGGCTTTCCCCAAGGAGTGCCTGGCACACCCTTAGTCCATGGGGCTGCTGGCAGCAGTGAGTGGGCTCCCCCAGAAGATGTGCTGGTGAGAGTATCTGGTCCATCGGGCACCGTGTGCAGCTGCACGTGTGGCAGACACAGCTCTGAGAAGGCTGGCGGGGTGGATCAAGGCAGCAGAGAATTTGCCAGCCTTGCTCTGTGGGGTCTGTAATGGGGAGCCAAAGTTTTAGGCCCCTTCTGTGCCCTTCGTGGCACTCAGAGGCCTTGGGCCGCTGAGCTGCTTTCATGGATATTGAGAATTATATGAGAACAAAATACATAAAAACCAGCCCATGTCTCTGCCTGGGATGGCTGTGGTGCCCATTACCATGGCTGGGGGCAACGGGGCACCTGGCAGCTGTGGTGAGGCTGCTTCCATGGCCCATGATGTCTTGGGAATGAGATCCTGAACGAGTTCGGGTTCAGCAGTGCTGTTTGAAGGCAGCAGTGCCGAGGCATCGCTTCCTTTGGGAGCCCCACGAGGCAGCTGCCGTTTGCGGGGATGCCTGGGATTTGGGACGATGAGCGGCAGTGCAGGGTTCCAGGTGGTCCACGTGAATCCCCCAGAGCAGGGTCGCCGCGGCGAGCACGCATCGACGGGCCCCAGGGGGGACCCTGCCGCCCTGTGGGGTGCGGCGGGCTCTGTGGGCCGGCGGAGGCTCCACCCGGGGCTGCAGCGGCTGCCGGGCCCCTCAGCCGGGCCGGCCGCCATAACCGGGCGCGGCCAAGGGGCCGCGAGAGGCGGTGACGTCACCGCGCGCCGACCCCCGGGCCGGTGGCGCCTGCGCGGTGGCGGTGCGGGATGGGGAGCCCGGCGGGCGCTCCCGCCAAGCGCGCGCGGTGCGAGGGGCCCCGCGGCTCCGGCAGCGACCGCAGCGACCCGCGGCTGTGGGACACGGAGTGGCTCTGCCAGCACCTCGCCCGCTGCGGCGTGGGCAATCCCAGCCTGCTGCGCCGCTTCCGAGGTACGGCGGGCCGGGGCCGGAGCCGCGGCCGTGGCCATGTGGCCCGGCCGCTGGCGCTGACGCTTCTCTTGCTCCCGCAGAGAGCGGGGTCACCGGGAGGATGCTGCTGGACCTGCCGGCCTGCGCCCCCGAGCTCATCCGCGTCTGGTGAGCGCCGCCCGCGGGGAAAGGGGGGCCGAAGCCGCGGGGAGCGGCCGCACACGCGCGTGGCCCGGCTCGGCCCGGCTCTAGGCCGCGGCCGCCCCCAACGCCTCGAGCGGAACTGTGCGGGGGAGGGCGAGGGAACGGGCTCCATGGGGCCGATGCCGGACTCTCAGAGCAGTTCCCGTTTCCGGCTGATCCCAGCACAACCACGGCGCGGACTCTTGCTGCCCAAATAACCATGAGAAGCAAAAAACCTCGATCCTTTAGAAAGGTTTTATGAAAATCACCTGGGGTAGCACAGTGACCTTTGAAGTGTAGCTGGGAACGCAAGTGTGAGCTCCAGGTTCTGATAGGAACTTATTTTGCTGCCTGAAGTTGCTGCTGCTCCGACTCCAGGAACGACAGCGGCCCCGATGTTTGACAGAGCGGGAGGTGCTGCTCGGGAGAGGCGGAGTGTCACCCGTCTCCTTTGGAGAAATCCCGGGCATTGACAGGTCAGCCTTGCAGCACTTGGCTCTCTGTTGTGCCGACTGGAGCATGGGCTGCTGTGGAAAAAGAAGTGTTCTGGCAGAACACTTCTGTAGTGTGTTCTGGCAGAATAGGGGCCTGTGGGTGAGTGGCCGAGTCCTTGCTGCCCGGAGCAGTCCAGAGCAGGCAGCCCGGCTGGTAATGGTCACCTGCCACAAACACGGGGACACTGGGTGCTGTTCTAAAGTGTGTAAAGGATTGTTCCCAACAGTGAGGGACGACTGGGCCCAAAACCCTTTTATCTTTCTGGGGGCAAATATGCAAATATATTTTCTTGCTTTTCTGTAACAGCAAAGAGTATGAATCTGTCGTGCTGTTCTGTGTGTTGGAAAGGCCCCTTTGCCCCTTCTCTGCCCCACCGGGAATCCTTTTTTGCTCCCCTCTACTGGATGTGAGCCTGCTTGCTCACCACATACTTCCTGGTGGTTTTTAATCTTGTAATGTCTTTTCTTTACTCCTTTGTTAACCTTGTTTATACTGTTTCCTTCAAATTTGTCTCAAAACCCACGTGCTGGCTCCAGCTGTTTGCTGATGTTGTGGTTGGTAACCCTGAGGTAAGCTGGGGTGTGTAATCTGGCAGGTGCACACAAGTGCAGAGCTGTGCTTTCTGCTGGGGGTTAGAGCACTTTGCTGTTGGCTCCTTGGCTGAAGGCTCGTCTGAGCTCATGCTGTGCTGGGGCTGAAGGGCTCTTCCGCTGTTTTATTGAGACATCAGCGTGCAAAGGGGAGTGGGAAAGGGCGGGTGTCTGGGTGTGAGTATTAGAAGAGAATAAAAAGCTGGTGTGACGCAGCAGGACAAGGCAGAAGTCCTGTGCTTTGGACAAGGTAAGACGTGCTGGAGTGTATAAGGTATTTTTGATTTCTCTTTTTGTGGAAGAGGAGTTTAACTGTAGCAGTTTGAAGTGTGCAGGTAGAAATGCTGTGATGTCGTGGAAGGCACCTGAAGGCTTTGTTTATTCCTGAAGTACCAGGTAATTGCCTGACTGAAATGACAAGCTGATGTCTAGTTTTATTTAGGATTTGCCTGGAGGCTGGTTGCTTCTAGCAGGAAAGGAGCATCATGTGTCCAGGACACACTGGACATGTGCAGCCAGTCTGGGGAGGCAGAGACTGTCTGTCGGTGCAGAACATGGGCAGCAGGATGGGGTAGCCGGGGTCCCTCAGCATGGGATACAGGTGATGGGGGCACAGGACTGTGGAGACCTCTCAGTTGACGTGGAGAGCAGATGGTGATGGGTTTACAGGTGGCTTGTGGGTTTTCTTTGTATAAGATATTGTTAACTTTGTATAAGTTTCCTTCTGTGAGATCTGACATCTTGTTTCTGTTAAGCTGAAACTGGTGAGAGTTGGATGAGAAATTGCTCAAGCATTCTGCTTTTTGTAAACATCTCTCACTTTGCAGTAAGAACAATTCTTTTGCTGTCCACTGCACACTGTCCTGCAGTAAGTTGGGTCATTTCTCTGTGACAGGCCACTAATGAATGCATGTCTTTAGTTCCCTGGGTTCCTGGATGTTCAGAGAGGAGAGCTTGGGCTGGTGGTGCCTGGAGGCAGTGCAGTGAGTTTCCCAGGTGTTCTCATGTTGCTGGCAATGGATGTTTCCTGTGATGTACAGAGTGCTGAACACAGATGATGAGTGGGGCTGTCTGGCTGACCTCTTTGGGTACAGGAAAGGGATTTTCTGGTCCTTGTGACCTGTGGCATGAAGGAGGGTATGGATCGAGCAGGGAGGAGAGTGGATGAGGAAGTGCCAGTTGTCACCATTTCCAAGCAGCCATCAGTAATGCTGCTTTGACTGTTAGAGGAAATGCAGAGTCCTGGAAAACTACAGTTTTCTGTATTAACAGGATTTGTCTTGCTTAGGGGGGTCTGGCCTTGTAGACTTCAGGTGAAAAATGCCCTGCAGCTGTTTTCTATCTGAAGGAGGATGAAGAGCAGGGAAGGTGGGGCATCCAGGCAATTGGTCACACCAGTAGCCAGCATGCAGGGTCTAATCTTTTCCCAATTCTTCTCCTCATCCCACCAGAGCAACGAGTGGCTGTGTGGGACTGAGTTCCTGTCTGGGGTTAATCCACAACAATCCTTCTTGGAGCCCAGGGTGGGGCACAAGGGGTTGCCAGATGACAGATCTGAACAGAGCATATTAAAATACAAATAGTGGGGCCAGCAGAACTAAGGAAGTGATTCTTCCCCTGTGCTGGTTGGGCCACACCTTGAGTGCTGTGTCCAGTTCTGGGCCCCCCAATTTAGGAAGGATGTTGAGATGCTGGAGCACGTCTGGAGAAAGGCAACAAGGCTGGTGAAGGGTCTGGAACTCAAGCCTTATGAGGAGTGGCTGAGGGAGCTGGGGTTGTTTAGCCTGGAGGAGAGGAGGCTCAGGTAAGGAGACCTTACCACTCTCTACAACTACCTGACAGGAGCTACCTTCTCCCAGGCAACAAGTGACAGGACAAGAGGACACAATCTTAAGCTGTGCCAAGATGAGTTTAGGCTAGACATTAGGAAAAAATCCTTAACAGAAGGAATGATTGGGCATTGGGATGGGATGGGCTGCCCAGGAGGGAGATGGAGGAGTCATCATCCATGGAGGTATTTAAAAACACTGGATGTGTCACTTAGTGCCATAGTTTAGTTGATAAGGTGATGTTAGGTCATAGGTTGGACTTAATGATCTCAAAGATCTTTTCCAACCTGGTTAATTCTGTGATTCTGTGTGAAAAATAAGTTGTTAAAGGCATTCATTATCTTAGTTTAATAGCTGCTGGTCACAATGTTGATTTCTTTGCCCTCAGAGTATCATGGAACACATGCTGGTCTGGGCATCACCAAGGGAGCTTTTCATCTTAGAATTGTGGAATGGTTTGGGTTGACCTTATTGATCATCTCATTTAGACCCCTGCCACAGACTGGGACACCTTCTACTATCCCAGGCTGCTTCAACCCCTGTCCAACCTGGCCTTGGACACCTCCAGGGATGGGCAACCTGTGCCAGGACTTCAGCACCCTCACAGGGAACAATTTTTTCCTAATACCCAATCTGACCCTGGCCTCTGCCAGTTTAAAACCATTGGCCCTGTCCTGACAGTATCTGCTCTTCTAAGTCCCTCTCCCTCCTTTGTATGGGTCTCCTAAAGGTATTGGGAGGCTTCAGGGAGGTCTTCATGCAGACTTCCCTTCTCCAGGCTGCACAGCCCCAGCTCTCTCGGCCTGTCTGCATAGGAGAGGTGCTCCAGCACTGCCTTGTGGCAGTCTGAGCAGCAGCTACAGCCCAAGAGCTCCCTGTTAGGGAAAGCAACACCAAGTGGTTGAGAGAAACACTGCTCACCAACAGCTCAAACATCACATGCCTTTAATATTTTAGGGATAGTGAATTATTAAATGATTCAGATGAGAATACGTAGTGCATCAAGCAGTACTTTTTCCTAATCGTTGACACTTTATAGTCTTATTTTATGTTAAATTTTATGTTGAAAGGCTGATATCAAACCAATCTCAGTGGTTAACTGCTGGGAGGAAAAGTATTTTCTCATGGTAGTGTTTGCTGTCCTACTGAGGCTGAATCCATTTAGCTCAAGGGCAAAGCTTGCAGATAGAGTTAGTAAAAGTAAGTGTGATAGGGCATATTATCTCTCTCTCTCTCCAGACTTATCCCACCTGTCCTCTTAGGCTGCTGTGGCTACAGCAGAGTACCTGCACTGGAAGTTTAGCTGTGTGTTGTGAAGGGGACCTTTAATACTTTATTAAAAATGACAGCAAAATATCTTTGCAAAATAGAAGAATCAGTCTCAGCAAAATTGGAACATGTTTTAAACTGCAGTGGTTTTGCTGCTGGAGTTGAAATTAATTTATGTAAAATTCAAGTTAATTTGACAAAATTAAACTATTAATAGACAGTTGACTAACTACGAGAAATTTTTATAAAAATAATTTGTTGGGACTCTGACATTCTAGTTGAAGGAAGTTTTGCATCCTTAAAAAGTGTCAGTTATGGGAAAGCAACGTGCAGCATCTGAATAAGCTTAAAGGACACTAGGTGTGGTTTACACAATTTTTTTCATCAGTTTTCCTGGTGGTTTTATTTCTCAGTTCTGTGTAAGTGGTAGAAGCACTTACACTGTTCTACAGACATGTTCTGTAGCTATTTGTTTCCTTCCTTCTATACTTGATTTTAGAAGGATAAATGCTTTCAATATTTTTCTGAAAAAGTTGCAGTTGCAGTCTTCTTCCATCAAGGAACATCAAAGTAATGTGAATGTGCATGAGTAATTCCATATGTACTGCAAATTGTAAAGGGACGTGCATTGCAGACTTGGCTCTCAGTGTCTCTTTTTCCTTCCTAGCTGCCCAGCTGAGCGACTGGAAGTGCTGGCGTGCCTGACACAGATGCAACAGCAGCACATGGAGGTGATGAAGGTATGGGGACATGCTATGGGGACACCATGACCAGGTCCTGCCCCAAGCCCTGCACAGGGCTCTGCTCCCTCTCTCTGCCTCCCCTTTCTTGGCTTGGTGCTGCCAGCTGGTGCCTTTCCTTTGCACAGCAGCAAACTCTGGGCCCTTGGTAGTGGTGATCTGTGAAAAACCACATTAACTAGAAGAAACAATAGAATCATCATGTGGAAGCTTTCGGTGCGCACCTCCAGGTTGTGAGGGATTAAATGAGCAGAAGAGCTGTTTGACATGTGTTGGAGAAGCTCCCTTTCACATCCCTTTGTGTAGAGCCTCCCCTTGGTTTATTTTATTAGTTTTTCCCCAGGCCTGAGTTAACAGACTCCTCCTTGCTGTCACTGTTTCCTGTGTCCAGCTGTTTCTCCCAGTGGTGTGTGTTGCTCCAAGGCTGTGGAGCAGGGCTGGCCAGGGCTGTGCCTGTTCTCTAGTAGTCTGCATATCTGCTAGAGCCCTCCCAGCTCAGTGACCAAGGGTAGAGAGCACAGGTAACCCTTATTTGCCTCAGTATTTTACCAAGATAGGTGTGTGATGGAATGGTTTTACCTGCAGTTTAACAGCAAAGGTTAAAGATTAAATGTGTTTACCTTTTCTACTTGAGTCCCTCTAGTTACTGAGATGTCTCTAAAAATATGTGCTTGTCAGGAAGTACTTATTTCATATTTTGGTCATTTTGGGGGTTTATATTTTGTTTTAAGAAAAAAGTAACAATCATAATTTCCACCCAGCAATATTGCATTTGATTTTAAAAGCATGAACAGTATCCGGGCAAACACTTTTATTGGCTATCTCAGACATGCATTGCAGTATGCTGCTTTAATTGGAATAGGAGATTAATAAAGACAGCAGTTTTCACAGGTGTTAAGTTTTGGAATTACGCAGTTGGAGATAACATTTTTAGTCATTTTGACTTCCCTTGCTATGTGAAATAGGCAGTTTTAACTTTTTGGTGTCAAGCTTTAGTAGTTCTCCAAGATAAATTTGGTTGCGCAGAGAGGTTGAGGATGCACTGTGCCTGGAAGTGTTCAGGGTCAGATTGGACAGGGCTTGGAGCAGCCTGGTCTAGTGGAAGGCATCCCTGCCTATGGTAGTATGTTAGAACAAGGTGATCTTTAAGGTCCCTTCCAGCCCCAACCTTCCTATGATTCTGTGATAGATCTTGATATAGAGTTGGCAGGATATGTCTGTTTTACAGAAGATGAACAGTCTCTCCAACCAAATACCTGACCATTCTAGATATCTTTTACCTTGGTGCCTGTTTCTTTTCAAAGTCAAATTTTAATTTTTTTTTTCTTACTTCTGTAGGTTTTTAATGATCCTATTCATGGGCACATTGAATTGCATCCCCTGCTGGTTCGGATCATCGACACCCCTCAGTTCCAGCGCCTCCGGTACATCAAGCAGCTGGGCGGAACGTACTTTGTTTTTCCAGGAGCCTCTCACAACCGCTTTGAACACTCCCTGGGGTAAGGTGCTGCTTCTGATGCATCTGTGGCATCTGGATATCCCTGTTTGGTTCTGCTGCTGTGGAGTGCCAGCCACGGGGCACTGCTGTCTGAGCACTGGTGAAAACTGCTGGGGGATGTTTCTGGTCTCAAATGTTCCTGGATAGCCCATGTCATTGTGGGCTGTTCCCTCGAATTTCTTTTAATAAAGACAGATAAACAAACCAAGATGGGTCAATGTTAGATTTTCTTCCTCACCCTTTATTATTCTAAGAATAATGTTAGCTGAAAACTGTGTTTTATGTTCCTCCAGTCAAAATACAAGTTTTAAAGCATAAACTTAGTAGGTGTGCCAGGGCTACTCTTATGATCTGGCAGACAGTTGTAATCCCCTCACATCATCCAGCACAGCCAAAATGGTTTGATCTGTAATGTTTGTCTTTGTAGGTAGATGTGCTTCATGCAATCCATGGCAGGTTGTGAGGCTGATAGCTGTCATTCCATTAAGCAGAAATATGATAGACACAAGGATTCATAGAGTGTTACTAGGTCATTCACACTCATCAGGAAAGCTGATGAATGACAAATTTGAGCTTGTTTTAAGGGTATATCTCAAAGAGCAGCTATTAAATTAAAATTAAGCTTGTAAGTGGTTTTTATTCAGGTGATCTGGCCAGCCTAAAGTTGCTTTTGTTGGTGCTGAAATATTGTGGAGTAAATCTGGCTTACTTATAATGAGATTCAAATGGCTGTTCGCAAAAGGATGAGATGAATGAGGCAGCCTGGATTGATTGCATCTGGTAAACCAAAGAGACAGAAATGTGGTTGAATATAAATGTGGTTGAAGTCTGAAAACTTCAGTTCTATCAGTAGCTTTTCTTCTGAACAGTTCCATTTAGTTAAATTTAGGGCAGTTGTTCTCCACTTGTATATAATGCCAAAGATTTCTACAGTGTTACAAATAGAAGAACTGAGCTTTGTGTGCTTATTGGTCTACTAAAAAGCCATCAAATGGTGAAATTTGGACTAATGAAACATATTACCTTATCACAGAACTAATTATTACCTTGTCCTTGTCTTGCTTTAAGCTATTCTGAAAGGGGAGCTGTTGAGGCAAGTAGAAAAAGAGGTTTGTGTAGAGGTTATAATAAACAGTTTATGGGACTGTGTGCCATATATTTGCTCCTGCTGGTTTTGTGCCCATTCAATTAAATTAATTCTCAAATCTAAAATGGATGAGAAGAAGGGAAATAATTGTCATGAGCTATTAATAAAGCAGCAGTTTGAAAAGAGTACCAAATGCTTTGGTGACTGGTGTGGACCTTTGCAGCTTGCCCTGGCTGGAATTCAAGGATTCAGTGTAAGCTGAGGCGCTTTAAGATTCTCACTGTCAGTGGTGCACTGCTGTTCCCTTACACAGCTACCATGGGGTTGTGTGTTATGAAATACTGCAGGATGCTCTAGAGCCTCTGTGTTTTGGGCATGGTATCCCATGCTTTTTTGCTTTTGGAGGACTAAAACTGCTACAGGAAGCAGTTTGTGATTTTCTCCCACGTCAGGGTTGGGTATTCTTTGTATGCTGCCTCTCAGATAAGGGCTGTGACTTCATGGAGCAAAACAGAGTTCATCCTAAACCAATGCTGTATTTCTTTCTTTTCGTCTTGCAACAGGGTTGGCTACCTTGCGGGATGTCTGGTTCGTGCACTGAAGGAGAGACAACCAGACCTGGATATAACCGAGCGAGACATCCTCTGTGTAGAAATTGCTGGGCTTTGTCATGATTTGGGTAAGAAGCACCTGAGATGGGTTGTTGCTCTTGGAAAGCTAACCAGGATGAAAAGCTGGCTGTGAGGTCAGAACATGTGAGCTGTTTTGGGCTGCTTAATGCATGGCCATATTCCAAGACAGGTTTTATCTGTTCTGTTTGGTCTGGAGTACATCTGTGGAGACAGTTCCACCTGAATCTGTAGCCACTCTTAGCTAGTGTTTTGTCCTGTTTCCAAATGGTGCTTAGAGTTCTGCCCTCAGTGGCTGAAATGTCCACTTCTTTCTGTGGTTTCTCCAGGTCTCTTCAAACATTTCAGAATGAAAAATAGTGTTCCTTTCAAAAATTGTAACATTTATTTCATAAACTACTTCTTTTCCTCAGATCTGACACAGAATAATTTAATATTCTCAGTGTTGCTGCAGTACTTGCCTGTGGTGTAGGTGCTGGTACTGGCTGTTAAGTGCAGTAGTACTTGAAATATCTTAGGAAAGTGTACTTGTTATACCCGAGTCTTCCTCGCAGGTGATGGGGAAGGAATTATCTGAATGGTTGCACTCAGAGTGGTGGTTACAGGCTCAATGTCCAGGTGGAGCCCAGTGAGGAGTGGGGGCTGGTGCTATTGAATATCTCTGTCAGTGATGGGGACAGTGGGATCGATGCACCCTTGGGCAGTTTGCCAAGAGCACCGAGCTGTGTGATGGAGTCACATGGAGAGAAGGGATGTGGCATCCAGAGGGACCTGGACAGGCTGGAGGGGCAGACAGTGGATTGAGAGCAGCCCTCAGGAGAAGAACTTGGGGGCATTGATGGGTAAGATAGGACCAGAGGCAGCCCAGATGTAGAAGAATTCTTGGCAGAACAAGGGCATGCAAGGGCATACTTTTACAAGAATTGGACGACCCTGGCCTGCAGATTACAGAGTTACTTTGAAGACCATGTACTGTCCTCAAAACAAGATAGACCATGTACTGTCCTTGAATGGATACAACAGGAAAAAATGAGCATTGTGCCAGGACGAGGCCAGATGCCAGGCACATTGTGGGAACTGCTAATTTAGCACACCTTAGCTGAAAATGCTTCTAGCGTGACAACCAATCAGCAAATAACATGTATGTGTGAATGCAGCCACTTCACCAATGAGCATTAAGAGAGGCAATGCAGAGAGAGGCAGAAATATTCCAAAGTTGCTGAATAAAGCAGAAGGACGTGGAGCCATGTTGGTGTGGTTGTCGGTACTCAGCCGACTCTCCATGGGACCCTCTTCACCCAGAACCCCCTTTGTGCTGGGCTGATCCCCAGCATGGGCAGAGGTGGGGGGGGGGGATTCTGCCCCTCTCCCTTGCTCAGGTGACAGCCCCACCTGCAGAGCTGCCACCAGCCCTGTGCCCCAGCATAAGGATGGGGTGCTACTTATGCACCCCAAAATTGCCCCAAGGCCTTGGAGATACACAAAGGGCTGGAGCCAGGCTGGGAGGGCTGGGGGTGCTCAGCCTGGAGGAGAGGAGGCTCTAGGGAGGCCTTAGACCACATAAAAGTGGTTCCAGGAGAGCTCAGAGGGACTTTGGACAGAGGCTTGGAGTGACAGGACAAGAAGGAATGGCTTCCCACTGGCAGAAGCAGGGTTAGATGAGATATTGGTAAGAATTCTTCCCTGTGAGAGTGGGGAAGTCCTGGCACAGGTTGCCCAGAGAAGCTGTGGCCACCCTATCCTTGGAAGTATTCAAGGCCAGGTTGGAGAGGGCTTGGAGCAGCCTGGGATAGTGGAAGGTGTCCCTGGCCATAGCAGAGGTCTGAATGAGATGATCTTTAATGTCTGTTCCAACCCAAACCAGTCTGAGACTCTGTGATGTGTCAAGAAAAGTCAAATACAGGAGAATTCAGATCCTAAGCTTGCTCAAGAAATTTTTGCTGACAGCTATGTCTCAGACTGTGTAATCTTTATATTTAAGGTCATGGGCCATTTTCACACATGTTTGATGGAAGATTTATTCCACTCACTCGTCCAGATTTGAATTGGAAGGTAGGCTTTTCACTATTAAAATAAAAAGACAAACCTGAAATTTTTAGAGGCAGAATAATTAATCTTTAAAGAGTTCCAATGCTTTTGAGGCTGTAGTGGTCATCTGGCCTTACCTTATTGCATCATTTTGATGGCTTAATTGAAAACCAGAATGTTGTTTTCTAATCTTGTGATGATATCCTTGTTAGGTCTGCACTGATCAATTTTGGTCAGCATTGTGCCTTAAAATGCATATTGAGAGCTTTCTGCAGAATATATTTTACATTTTAAAAATACCAACTGGCTGCTTCCTTTCTGGTATGTTTAGTCCAACGGCAGGATATTCAATATTGTTTAGAATTCAAACTTTCCAAAACAGTTGTTTGCTGTGAATGAAGTGCAACACAGTCCTTTCAGGCCTCTCTCTGCTTGTAATTTCTTAGCAAAATCAGATGAGTAAATTGGTTAATCTTTTACACAGCAAAATTGATTATTTTGTCTTTTAGCATTGTAATTGCATCACTGCTGTTTGTCCACACACAGAATTAACAGCTCTCTGCAGAAGAGTGTGTTTCTGGACTCTGTAGACCGGGTGATTTCCTCTTCTGTTTAATTGAAAATGACTAGGAAAGCACCCAGCTTCTGCACTTCACACCAGCCTGCCCATGTGCCCTGCTAGGCAGTGCTGATGGCTTGGAGTAAAGCTGTGACTCTGCAGGAAAGATGCTTAAACTATGTAATACAGTATTTGGATGGGTTTTTTCACAGCATGAAACTTCTTCTGTTCAAATGTTTGAGCACTTGATCACTTCCAATGAACTAGAAGAAGTCATGAAGTCCTATGGTCTTGTCCTGGAAGAAGATCTGTTGTTCATCAAGGAACAAATAGGAGGGCCTATAGATGAAACTGCCTGTGTGAAATCGGTGAGTCAGGGTGTTGCTCCTGTGGTAATGCCAAGAAACGTCTTTATTTCGCTGGAAGAACAGATAATTTTGGCTTCTACTGTATGTTACTTATTGCTCTATGAAGTTCTGGGAATCTTGTCACAACTGATGCTGGAGGAGTGTTGTGTTTATTTCTTACAGTGCTGGTAGATGTGTTAATGTGCTTACAGCTCCCTGAGAATTCTTACCCAAAAGCCTCCAGATCAGAGGAAAGCTGTAGAAAGTTACTTGTATTTAGGGAACTGAACTGGTAACTGGGATCCACTCAAGGGTACTGAAGAGTTGGAAGAAGTGGTCACCAAGGTATTTTTCATCATTTACATGCAGTCCTGGGTGGTTCCAGTTGACTGGAAATCAGTAGATGTGGCTCCATGAACAAGGGTGAGAAGGATAATCCCGGGAACTAGAGGGCTGTCAGCCTGACCTTGGTGCTAGGGAAGGTCATGGAGCAGATCATCCTGAATGCCATCATGCAGCACGTACAGGACAAGCAGGGAACCAGGCCCAACCAGCCTGGGTTTAGGAAATGCAGGTCATGTTCAACTGGAGGGTAGGAAGGCTCTACAGAGGGATCTGGATAAGTTGAATCAATGTCCCCAATTGTGTGAGGTTCCACAATGCCACGTGTTGGTCCTTCTACAGGCTGGGGTCAGGGCAGCTGGAAAGTGGCTAGGCAGAAAAGAGGTGCTGTTTGGTAGACAGTGAGTGAAAATGAGCCAGATGTGCCCAGGTGGGCAAGAGGACAATTGCACATGGCCTGTGCCAGCCACAGCATGGCCAGCAGGACCAGGACAGTGACAGTGCCCCTGTGCTGGGCACTGCTGAGGACACAACTCAAATTCTGCATTCAGTTTTTGACCCCTCACTTGAAGAAAGACTCTGAGGTGCAATGGAGAAGGGCAGTAGAGCTGGGGAAGGGTCTGGAACACAAGTATGATGAGGAGCAGCTGAGGGATCTAGGGGGGCTTGGCCTGGAGTAAAGGAGGCCTCCCCCAGTCTGGATAACAAAACTGGGCACTGGCAGTGATGAGGCAGTGAGCAATCCAAGCCTGGCCCAAGTGCCAGAGCCACAACAGCTTTGATGACAGCAGTGAAATGCTTGGATTTATTGCAGTAGCCAACATAGAGGATAAGACTTGAAGAAATGAGTTGCCTCAAGAAGCAAGCAAGAAGGGATGGCAGTTGTTAATCATTGCAACTCTATGAAAGATCTCAGTCCTCCTCATTTTACACTTTTGTCATCTCTTCAAGGACACTCGTTAAGTTGCCACCAGAGTAAACAACTGGTAGCAGCTGAAGTCAGTGGGAGATCTGTCAGGACAATCTGGTCCTAATCAGAATTTATATGTAGTCCCAAACAAGTAACCCACAAATGTTCACACTTGCCCATTATTTTCTGCTGCAGGAGTGGGTAGCAATCCCACGGCAAATACAAGGAACTTGGAGTAGTGAAAATGAGTCTGAGATCCTATAGGAAGAGGACATCCATTTACAAAATCCACAAGCTTATTTTTATCCCACTGGGCTTGTTTGCACACGAATCTTGGTGCCTGCCACTGGCATTGATGATGTTCCAGGTTCTTTCCCTGTGTCTGGTTTGCCTTGTTTGGATTCTGTGCCTGTTTTCCAGCAGGATACCAGGAAGAGGAGTGCCACACACGGTACATGGCAGCACCTTCCTGGTGTTAGGCAGCAGATTGCACTGGAAGGCTGTGCACTGTGGTGCAGGCCTCTGTCATGACATGGACAATGGGTGTTCAGGCACCAGACATAAACAGTGTCCTGAGCATGTCCCAGTAGCAGAGCTCTGTGATCATGGGATTTTTATCCATGATGTGTTTGCATCCTTCTGCTTGCATGTGTTTCTGTTGCTATTTACATCAGTTTTAGTATTTCTGTAGTGCAGGTAACATGGAAGCTATGTTTGCATACAATGCTTTCCACTTTCAGAATTTCAAGGCCACTTTATGGCATATTTTTAGGTGAAAAATCTTTAAATTTTCAAGAAAATGCGTGCCTTGTATCTTAGTATTTTGGTGTTCATTTCCTCTTTACCTTATGGCTGAATTGTCCCTTGTGAGGCAGGAGTTTAAGTAGCTGAATATTCAAAAATTTTTTCTTAAAACTTCTAAGTAAGTGTTTTTAACTCTGTTCTATGAAGTTGTAGATTGCAAAAGATTGCAGGACAGTGACATATTTGTGTATTTAATTCCCTCAAAATTAAATCATTCCAAAATTTCCCCTCTTTGTTGATATGTTGTTTTTTGTTTTTTTCATTCCCAAGCTGCAGGCTTTCTTTTAGTAGAGTAATGGGCAATGAATACTTGTGTTCATGGGTTTTATTCTGCTTGGGATTATGAGAAGACAGTCGCTTAGGCCCTCTTCTGGATTTCTAATGCCTGATAGCTTCTGGAAGTTCTTTTCTTGTCTTTGTGTTCTTCACTACCTCAGAGTTGGATGTTTATCACAAGCAAAGTCAAAGTGTATTCCCACTGTCTTTGAAAAGCCATTAGACATTGATGGTACACTTTAATTTCTTGTTGTTTCTGATGTTTTTCTTCTTGGCTGCCCTGTCAGTGGCCCTACCGTGGTCGACCAAAGGAGAAAAGTTTCCTCTATGAGATTGTCGCTAATAAAAAAAATGGCATTGACGTTGACAAGTGGGATTATTTTGCAAGGTACAAATCTTACATTTTATTATGAATTCCTCTTGACAAAATGCTGCCGTATGTACAAAAATAATCATATGGTTAAACACTCCGTGCAATATTTCTAGGGATTGCCATCACCTGGGAATCCCCAATAATTTTGACTATAAGCGATTGCTTATCTTCACCCGGGTCTGTGAAGTGGGGAACCAGAAGCACATCTGCCCCCGTGACAAGGTGAGCAGGGGGAGCACCTGGGGGCACGCAGGGGAGCTGCACCCCGTGGCTGGGGGTCCTGCCCCTGCTTCCTTAGTCGAGGAGGGAGAGAAGTATTGGCTGCTCTGAAAGTTTTTCTCAGAAGCTGCTTTTTGGGAGAGAGACAGAGCAAACCATTGTTTGAAAGGATTTGTGGCAGATCCTGTCAGGGATCTCTACAGACCCCTCAGATCTGCATAATCCTGCTCCAGGTCTGTTGGGCAGGAAGTGAATGTAGCTGTGGTGAGGGGCTGCTAAAGGGATGAGGGGTCCTCTGCACTGCCTGGGGTCACTGTCAGCATTCTGCTCTCCTGCGGTGGCCTGAGCCAGTTTCAAAATTTGGAAATTATGAATAATAATCATTCTGCTTTATGCTGTGAATGGGAGGAGACAACTAATTTGATTAATTGATTGATTGATTTAATTATCCTACTAAGACAGTGGCAAAAGTAAATGCTAATTGGGTTTTTTTGATTCAGGAAGTTGGAAATTTGTACGAGATGTTCCACACCCGGAACTGCCTGCACCGGAGAGCATACCAGCATAAGACTGGCAACGTCATTGAAATAATGCAAGTATATTTTCCTTTTCTTCCTTTTCAATTTATATTTAAATTCTTGAAACAATCCATATCCATTGGAATATTCAGAAAATCAGTAAGGTGTGACATAGAATAAAAACTACTTCTGATTCTTGTGAAAAGACTTAGTGCTTAAGGTATCATAGAGGCTGTGGTTAGCAAAGCAAACAAAAACAGAAAGAGAGGAGGACAAAAGCATCCTTCCACATTAAATTAAATCAGAGGAAAATTGCTAAAGGCCTGAAGAAGCACAAGACTAGGGTGTGCTTAAACCATTTAAACTGCTGACAGCTGAAGTGAAATCCTTATCTGCAAGTTAGAGAACACTTAGCTCAAACTGCCTGGTTACTAGAGCAAGGTTGCTAATAAAGTCATGAAAGGGCTCATGTAGTTTAGCTGAGGCCTGGCTTTGTGTTTATGTAATACAAGATTTGTTCAGGACCAGCTCAGCTGCCTACCTGCTGTTTTACCTCTCTTGTTGATGTCTATAGAATTTTCCCTATAACATTATTCATTTTACTTTTCTTGAGAGTCAGAAATACTTGTATCTCCAAATCTTTTTTTCCTTAGGGTCTTGTCTGTTGGGTAACTGTTGACATTGGTAAAAAGGAATGTTAAGGATTACACAGTACAAGAGTGATTTGGATTGTTTTCATTTTGTAAACTTCAGCTCCTGATTTAGGGATCCTTTAAAACTCAGACTAAAAATGCTTGGGTTTGACAGTACCTCCATATGACAAGTAAAACATATTTTTTAGTTTAGAAAAACTCAGTTCTTGGCTTCCTATAATTATAACAGCCTTTCCAAAACAGTGTCCAAGCTGGAAATGACAGCAAGGTATATGGAAATTTGGAAGAACATCATCTTTAGATTATAATTTTTCCCATCTGAAAATATTACATGCTTGTGATGCTTTCCCTTTACAATGCTTTGCACCTTCTCAGCTAACTGGGGAGGCAGGGAGTCTGTAACAAAGGGTTTGGTCATCTGTGAGGGAACCTTCACTGCAGCTGAGGGACCATGTCACTGTTTTGCAGGGTTCTGCAATTGTCTCAGCAGTGCTAAACCACGTCTAAAGCAGAGCAAAGTGAATTTGCTCATTCATCCAAAGGTTACATTCTGTTCTGAACCTGTCTTCAGTAAATCTCTGTTGGAATGTGCAGTGACAGCATGGAGACAAGATGTTGCAGTGATCAGTGTCTGCTGTGTGCTGGGATACAGTTTCATATGTTGTCTTCTGTTTATAACATACTACTAAATTGTTTCATTTTTCCTGTTGACCAGTGAGGTGTTTCAAAATCATACTATCCTGAACTCATAATTTTGTCTCAAACTAGGATAACAGAAGCCTTTCAAAAAGCAGACAAATTTTTTGAAATAAGAGGCTCTGGAGGAAAAGTGTATCGGATTTCTACAGCAATGGAGGACATGGAAGCCTACACTAAACTAACTGGTATGAGGTCTCAGAATTATTTCCTTAAGTAAAACAGCATGGCTGCCTGTTAAAATGCTGATTTTATTGCTTTTGTGCACAGAAGGTGGGGCAGGCCTGGACTGTCTAATGCTTGTGATCTGAAATCTTGCTAGAAGGGAGAGCAATACCTTCTAATTGAAATGACTTTTATGTTGTGAGAGAGAGAGAGAAAGAAGCACTAACTTTATATTCCACATATGTTCAGATTCAGCAGTGTTAGAAGGTCCCGCCTGTGCCCTGAGTTTGTTGTACTTGTCACAAGTGGGATGTGAGTGAGCTCTAAGTGGTACTACAGGTGGCTCTGTCAGGTGAAGTTCTGGACGAGTTTTGTGGTGTGAAGCTGTACCCAAAGCAGGTTCCAAACAGCTCTCATGGAGTCTCAGGTTGCCCTGCTTGCCTGCATCTCCTGGTGTGTGCTGTGGGGCCCTGGTGTTCCCCTGGTTGTGTTCAGAGCTGCAGTGGGGCCAGGCAACCCTTCTGCTCCAGGGCTCTGTGGTTGGCTCTGTATGCAGGGCACGGGTGCTGCAGGTCCTGCTCAGGGCTGCTCCTGATCACTGGCAGCTCTTGCAGCACCTGTCAGCTACAGCTCACCAGGACTTCCAAGCCAACCCTCCTGAGTTTCCATCACCAAGCCTTAGCTCGCCAAGAGAGAGACTGAAGAACTTCTATCTTTGGTCCATGGATGACAGGGCCTGAGGGCACTTGCAGAGAATCCTGTGTGCCTTAGCCTTTGTCATGCTAAAGACCTTTTGCTGGCAGTCTTTCATGTGCCACACCCTCTGCAGTATGCCCACACTCCTGCTGCTGCAGTGAGGAGTCCCTTCTGTCACTGTGTGCCTCTGCTCGGGGCAGGACAAGGGTGGCTGCTTTGAGGGGCAGTAGTTGTTGGGGAATGTGAGCTGCATTGCTGAGCAATGGAAGGCTGGGCAGAAAGGAAAGAACTGAGGTGAAGTTGTTCCTGGGGAATGGCTGGCCTGGCAGGCCTGCTGTAACTGCCTGCTTACCTCTGGTACCTGATGAGGAGCACAGCTCAGGGCAAGGACAGCAGGGCTGTGCCCAGCCTCTCACAGTCTGCCACAGCAAGGTGCTGCTTGTTGGGACCATCTGTTCAGCAAGGACGGCTGAACAGCAAGGGAGAGGGATGTGAGGAATGTTCCAGCATGTACAGTGGAGCATGAAGGACGAGTATGGCCTCCTCTTAAACCTCCTTCCTGCCTCTGGTGCTGTGGAGAGTAAGAGTTTTCCTTTTTTTTCTTTTCGCTCAGGGAATTTTCTTCCAGTTGTTGCCTAAGAGATGGAAATGTACATTAGTTAAGAGAGACAAAAGATGTAGCCAAGGAGGAGGGGGAAGGGTGCAGTTTGCTACTGTTTTCTTGGGAAGGGCAGAGTAGTGGGAGATTTTGGGTGAGGGGCTGGGCTCAGCCCCGCTCGCTCTCGCCCTTGGGCTCAGAGGTGACACGGGCAGGCTGCTGTCCTGGGGAGAATTGCTGCCAGCGGGGAGTTCTGTCCTGCGCTGCTTTCTGCTCACCGGGGCTGAGCTTCAGCTGCTGAACTGGGACCTTTCCAACACCCGACCTCAAGGGGAAGAGGACCCCAGCCCCCTCCCCATTCCCAGAGGGAGCGTCTGTGGGAAAGGCCGGCCCCGGGTCGGTGCTGCCAGGCTTGGTGTTTGCCTTGTTATACACACACATGCTAGTAAGGAACTGCTATTCCTTTTCTTGTATCTTTGCCTGAAAGCCCTGTGATTTCAAAGTTAGAATAATTCAGGGGGAAGGGGCTCATATTCTCCATTCCAAGGGAGGTTCCCGCCTTCCTTGTCCTTTAATCCAGGACAAGTGCTTGCAACCTGGACACTCCTTAGAGTTGTTTCAGCAGTCCCTGGTGAGTTATGCTTCTGTGAAATTGTCCAGTTATGGACCTCTACAAATGAGAAACCTCTGGGAGGTTTGTAGCAGGCACAGGGACTGCAAAGGCCCTGTGGAGGGCAGAGGCCTAAAGATAGGAAATGCCAAGTCACGGTGAATAGCAAGAAGCCCCTCTCTTCTGCCTTTTGGACCCCTGCTTATCTCTCTGTAACCCTGTAGGTCACTCCCTTTTAACCCCTGCTACTGGACAATTTCTGATCCCCCTATACCCTATAGAATGGGCTGTTTTAGCCCGGTTCTGTAGAAGAGCTGTCACTGGAACTTCACAGATCACCCAATAAAGACATCGCTGTGGAACGCCAGAACGGCCTTCTCCTCTCTCACCCTGTGTCTGCCTGCCTGCGGCACTGAGCAAGCTAAGAGCTGGAATCACAAAGAGCTGATAATCACTAAAGAGCTGATATCCCTTATGCTTGCTAAGGTTGCCAGTGGCTGAGAGCTGCTTGGGAATTTGGGCAGTCTGTCCCCATAAAGGACTGAGCTATCTGGCCTGTGCAGCCTGCTCGGGGGCAAATCTGAACCCAGCAGGAAGCCGAATTAGTGGTTCTGCAACAGAAGGTTTCCTAACTTTCTTCCATGGTGGTGGGTGAAGAACCACCATGTGTTGCCTTCTGATTTGGCAGCAAATCCTAGTTCTAGTAAAGGCTGAGACAGCGAAGCATTCCTTGTCACTGCTGCTTTTGCACAGGGAAGATGTTCGTGGGCTTCTTATTTCCCCTGCATTATCTATTCTTTGTTTGAAGAGACCTGGTCTGTGGTTCCTCATGGAGGAGTTCCTGGCTTTGGTTGACCTTGTCCATTAAACCAGTTGAAGGTGTTTTGGTACGTGGCTCAGAGATTGTTCTGGACCTTGTTGGGAGCTCCTCAGGCCGGTTGCAGCTTCAGGTGGGCTCTTGCAGGGTTGTGCTTGCAGCATGTGTTGAAGCTGCCCAGGTGTTCCTGGCCAGGGAATGCAGTCATGGGGTGCAGATGAGGCCAGCAGCATCCTGGCAACAGCAGTCTCTAGGACAGCCAAAAGTAACCTTTCCGCTCTGAAGCCACATCAAAAGAAGCCTGTCTTGCTCCACCTGATGGTGGGAATCTTGCTGCATGTATCACTGTCGTGTGGAGTCAGGAGGGAGGATTTTGATGCTTGCATCCAAAGTCTGAGAAAACCTGAAGGCTTAAAGGCCATTCTTTATTTTTTTACAGGATGGAGTCTTTACCCATGTCCTGAGCTAGTTAGTGGTGGAGTTCAGGGTAGTCTACTAAGCAAGATTGGCCAAATAAGAGAAAAAAGTAATTTCTAGTGAAATAACAAAGTATGTTGCCAGGGTGAGAATTGAGATAGTTTTTCTGCCAACAGCCATTGTGAATCTAATGATAATTAAGATACTATTGTGACTTCTCATTGTCAGACTTAGTTCCGTCATTCCCTGACGGTTCAGTGACTTTCCTGAACCAGCAGTTTTTCTGGTTGCTTTAACCTTTGGCCCTGTTTGTTCATTTTACTGTGACACTGGATTGTGACATACATAACAAAAATCAATGCAACTTTGGCAGACTGTGTCTACCTGGAAATTCTTCACTCAAGTCATCCAGAACTGGAGGAGGCACGAGAAATTTTGCGTAAAATAGAACGACGCGAATTATACAGGTTTTTAGGAGAAACTCGACCTGAATCAAAAAAGGAAATTATAAAGGTAATGTCCCTTAGCAGAAGGTTCTGAATTCTGTCCCCTTAAAAATGTTCTTGAAGTTGATGAACATCATTTGTCTCTACGTGGGCTTTGTTTAGTTTGAGGGTTTGGGGTTTTTTTTGTTATTTGCTATTTGAAAAATAGAGTCAAAAGTTATCCTCCCATCTTTAAGTAGCTGAGCCATGAAACATATAAGAAATTGGGGAAAGTTTTATCAACAAACAGTCAGAAGAACACCAACAGGTGGAAATTCAGAAGCTGAATTACTGCAGAAATATTTCCAGGAAAAACTTTTCTGAAAAACACAAAATTTTATAAAAGACTCTTACAGTCCAGTGATTGAAAAGGTTATTACATCATTTGATGTTCATGAAAATTTCAAAAACAATTAGGAACTCGTTTGCTTTGAACCATAATTTGTGTGCTTTGCTTTGAGAATAAATATCAAACTGAATAATAGCTGCTGAATTTCTTGATGTTAAATTCTGTACTAAGCATGAGAATGCATGTACTTTTCCCAGTCTTTTTCATGAGTGCTTTTCAAAGCAGATAGCAGTTTAATTCTTGTTGTCTTATTTCAAAATAATGATATATTAGAGCTCACTTCAGCTGGCTCAGCTCTTTTAATGTGCTATACTGTGTTGTCACATCATCAGTTACTTATCCCCAAATTTCAGGCATCATGGTGAAAACTTTCTATTTCTGATTTCCAGAAGTGGATGTCTGTATCTAGAAAGCCTTCATAAAAATAGTTCAGCTCTTTTAAAGAATAAGGTTAGAAAAGGACTACTAGATGTAACTGTTCATCTTTTTGTTTGAAGAGAAGCTTTGCTTGTGTTCTTTGTTTACGAAAAAGTCCTGTTAAGAGATTCTGTATTACAAAAGCAGGAGGAAATAGGTGAAAGCAAACATTAAATAGTTATACATGGATTGTCAAGTTTTTGCCCTTCTGAGGAGAAGGTTGGGGTAAGTGGCCCAACAAATAAGGAGACGGGTGTGAGAGCAAATATTATGATTTCTACCTTTAAACAGCTGCTTTTAGAAGCTTGGTTAATGAAAGGAAAACTCTCACTTTGAAAGTGCAGCCAGAGGTGTTGAATCTTGGGGTATGCAGGGTGTTGTTTTGAAGGGAGACTGGATCCCTGTTGGTGCTGTAATTATATCCAGCCAGTGCTTTGCAGCTCGGGGTGCACAGCTGAGGGCTTGAGGGAGGATGTTCCCCCTCTAGTGCCTGTGGCAGGAATGTCAGAGGCTCAGCCTCCTCCCAGCGCTGCAGAGGAGCTGCACAAGACAGAGCTATGTCTGCTCTGCTCCTTCCCACACCACAAGGTTGTGTTTAGAACCACTGAATGGTTTGGGTTGGAAAGGACCTTCAAAGGCCATCCAGTCCAACCTCCCGCCATGGAGCCGGGACGACTTCCACTAAACCAGGTTGCTCCTGCCCTGTGCATTTCTCTGATTCTCAAGCTGTCCAGAGCCAGGGGAAAATCCCAAAGAGCTTGAGAGTTCTCAAATTCAGGTTGAGTTTCCAGTTAGTGCAACTAGAGAGGTAATTTCAAAATGATGCAAGCAAAGTTAGGCAGTAAGTTAACACATATACATTCTGATACAGAGTAGAAATAATTACAAACAGCCTCAAGTCTGTTTCCTCCTGGCAGAGTTTTCCTCCAAGCTTGCTCTCAGTCTTTCTTTGGTTTCTTGAGTCACTGCAAACCACACACGTGCCTTAGCTTGTCAGTGTGTGTGATTTTTCTACTCATCAGTCTCTGCACCTCTGCAATGAACAAATCAACAGCAAAAACAAACAAACAAAACCAAACCAAAAAACAACCCAACTGCTCCTAGCAGAATTCCTTCCCTCCTGGACAGTCTCCAGACTGCTCTGGGCTGCACTCCCATGAGTCTCAGTTGCTCCCAGGAAATCTTGATGCTTCAAATTTTGCATCTTCCCCCAAACACAGCAGCCCTGAAAACAGGCCACAGCCTTTGAATGAGGACATTTCAGTGGACACCTGTTCTCCATCTAACCATGCTCCTCTGCTTTGTGTTAGCCTCAGTGTCAGCAGGGAATATTCCCTTGGTGTCAAAACCAAACAAAACCCCTTTGTGGGTTTTAGCTTTTGTGGAGTACTTTAGCGGAGTACTTTTGTGGGTTTTTTGTTTTGTGGTTGTCTGTCTCTTGTGGCTTTTTATATGTTTTACTGCATAGACATAAAAGCTTTATCAGAGGATAAGATCCTGCAGCCCTTCATTTGAAAATTTCAGTGAAAATGTCTAGTATTCAGCTTTGGGGAAATTAATTGTAACACATTTGTATTGTAAAACAGTTGATTGAAGGTACTTATTTTCTGCTTCTATGCTTCAGCATTCTGGATGTTGCACTCCTGCTCTCCCCCTGCCCCATTATCAGTGTAAAGCTCCTCCTTCACAGACTGGCAGATTTTGGGTTTTCTCATTTGCATACATTTGGTTTGTTTCTAAAAACTGAGTTTTATACTAATGGCTATGGTGTACAGTAATTCAAACAACCAGATTGTTGCAAGAGTCTTGTCAAATGGTGAAGAATTGAAAGTTTTAGTTTAGAAACATATTGTGTCACCTGTTGTATTGCCTTTACCTAGACCTGAGAGTGCATAAATGTAATTTGAGTTACTGAGTTAATCCTTTGGTTTGGTTTCTTCCAGAGTAACAGCCTGGCAGAAAGCATTGCTAATTCCAAGCCAGAGAAGGACCCTCCAGATGTGGAGCTAAAGGCTGAGAATTTCATAGTTGATGTAAACACCTCTCAGAGCGGGTTCAAGTAAAAACTTCTCCATCACAGAGGGCCTTGTGTAGCCTGGTGGAAGAACAAGCACACAGGGTGTCTGTGGCTGCAGCCTGGCTCCCTTTGAGGGTTGGAGGTTTCCTGTGGGGGGTTTGCTGTGGTGGGAGGTGTGGGGCAGGCAGGGGGAGCCTCACTGGGCTGTCACCTGTACACTGCTCCTGGTGACAAATGGGGTCTCTTGTCACTGTCCTCCCCCTGACAAGGAGCAGTGGAGAATCCTGTGGGGTTTGAGACACGGGTGTCAATGGCAGCAGCCCAGGGACCACTGGGTGGGTGAGGAAGGCAGGAAACCCCCAGAGGGAGGAAAGAGGCAAAGTGACCTCCAGGCTGCAGGTGCTGCACTCCTGATGCCTGGCAGGCACAAAACACCTGCTGCCACGGCTCAGGCTGCAGCCAGCAGTGTAGGAGGGAGGGAGCTGGGGCAGTCTGCAGGCATCACCCAGCTCAATCCCTGCTCTCAGTTCATTCTGGGGAGAGAGAGTGGCTTTCCACAGAGTGCATCACGAGCCCCTCCTGCAGCGCCCTTGCACTGAAGGTTCCCTTCACTGGGCCAGACTGGAGCAGCTCACTGAGCTTTACAAAATTTGCCTGGGATTTTCCCATCCCACAGACTGAAATCGTAGGGAAGTGGGTCCCTGCTGACCACAGAAGTGTTGGTGTACCTGGCTGATGTAAATAATGTCTAAACCTTATGTTTATGATTGTAAGCTCTGCTGCAATCATAATGTAGGTTGTGTGTTTTGGGGAGGCCCAAGCTGGCAAGGGACCAGTCCACTTCCAGTGCTGGAAGCTGGAATGTTTCAGAGCACATCTGGGAGCTGGTCACTGTAAATGTGAATATCCACCTGGCAGCATCAGAGCAAGAGGGGGTAGAAGAAAATACAAATACCAGATTGTTTTTTTAAGTAGTAATTTGTTAAATACTGTTTCATTTGATGACTGTAATTTTCAGGAGTGGTGTGTGTGTGGCCTTTTGTATTTATTGTGAGAAAATTAAAGACAAACATTAATAAATGCCATTTTCTTTTTTGTACATGCAAGGTTATCAGCATGGATTATGGAATGAAGGAACAGAATCCAATTGATAAGGTTCACTTCTATTGCAAGGCTGATCCTTCCAAGGCAGTTAAAATCAGTAAAGAACAGGTAGGTTTTTACTTTCCTTCTGAAAAGCATTTTCACCACCTGTGATGGAAGTGATCACAGTCCTGGGTGGTTGTTCATGCAGGATTTGTGGAGAAGTGGTGGGATCCATGGCCTTGTAATCTTCAGTGTGTGTTGTACTGTGACAATCTGGAACCCTGGCAGCCTTTGCCTATGAGCAGTATGTAACTGGAATACACTAGGAGCTGGAATATCACAATTGCTTTGGATAAAACTCATGGATTGTAGTGGAGCTTCTTGCTGCTTTCCTTCTGTATTCCAAGAAATACTAAAGCTTTTTTCTGCTTTATTTCAAAGGTTTCAAAGCTTTTACCCAAAATATTTATGGAGCAGGTTGTCCGGGTTTATTACAAAAGTCAGGATCCATGTATTATTTCAGCTGCAAAACAGTACTTTGTTCAGTGGTGCATGCAGAATGATTTCACCAAACCACAGGTAACAAATTCACTCATTATATTTCTTGTTTAGAGCTCATAATATTCATCCATAAGCTTGCTTTTTCAGTAACAAGTTGGACATTCAGGCCTTGCCTTTGTGGCAGAGGCACCCACTCACTCACCTAACCCCTGGTTTTATCACAGCTCCCATCTGGGGGTGCTTTGGTTTCACTGAAGTAGTGCTGGAGACACCTGAAAGTACCACAAGGTCATAGAATCATGGAATGGTTTGGGTTGGAAGGGGATTTTGAAGATCACCTTGTTCCAAACCCCTGCCATGGCAGAGACACTTTCCACTAGACCAGGTAGGGGAAAGAGCTGCATCCTCAAACAGGAGAGGAGTGCTCCTGGGTGGGGATGCAGGCATGGAAAACTGGGTAAGGCCTGTTCTTAAGGTCATTCTTGTGGCCTCTGTCTGTTAGAACAGGTAATTTTAGAAAGGCTTTTTACAAATGGATCAAGCAACAGCTCTCCCTGGTTGTAGAATGTGGTTGTGTCCTCTGAGCACATTGTTCAGGTTCAGGCACATCCTCCCTGCAGGCCCTGGTGTGCTGCAGAGCACAGCAATGTGCATCTCACCAGCCAATTTCTGATCTTAGGCAGCTGATGGTCTGTGTTGGAATGCCTGAGCACAGATCACCACCTGCATCTGCCTGGGGTGAGCCCCACTGCCTCAGCTGCTGTTCAATCCTGCTTGTTTCAGACAGTGCAGGGCACATTCCAGCACCAAGGGGAGCTTGATTGCAGCAGTGCTAATGAGGGGCTGTGCTGAGGTCACAGGAAACACTCTAATGATTCTGTTAGTAGACCAGTGACCTTCCAGATTTTCTGGTAATAATTTAAGAAGAACCTGACTGCCAGTGGTGATGCCTTCTCAAGCAGGGCACTTTTGTCTCCCCACCACTCACTGCAGCACTTTCCACCTCTGGGATGCACAGTCACTAGTGTTTATTGATTTACAAAGATTCTGGGACCTTGGATTGATTTTTTCCAGTTCAGCCTGAGGGTGAGCTGCTTTTCCCTGGCCTTAGAATGGAAAGCAAAAGTGAATTAATGTTTCCTGTATTTTCATACTAGGATGGTGATGTTGTTGCTCCTCATCTAACCCCAATGAAGGAAACCTGGAATAAGATGACAGATGATGAACACAGGAGAGCCTCAGAACCCAGCTGCAAACAAAGGCTTTCTTTTGATAAGTAACAAGTTTCTTTTTGGTGCTATTCAGTCTGCTTCCTCAGAAGATGAGTAAATTTGAGCATCAACTTTTCTAAAAGCTGGTTGGATGGCCTGGAATAATTCACAGAACAATGCAGAATGTATTTTGCAATACAGAATGTTTTAATGTAGATACTTAAAGTGCATATTCCAGATGGACTTCTAAAAAACAATTTATTATAACAGATTAAACTCAGTTCTCATTGATTTTTTAATGTAGTGGCACTGTGTAGCAGGAGTGACTTTAAAAATTGCAATTCATTGTTATTACAAGATTTTACTACTCCATCCAGTCCTGATCCCTTCCTATTGCATGACTTAGCAGAAAAAATCCCAGCCCAGGGTTGATGGGGTTTTGGGAGGGGGTTGGGGTTTTCTTAGTGTCTGAGGAAGAGAGGGATAAGTATGCTTCTGAAAATACAGTGAGGTAAAGAAGAAATTACCATGGGTGGCATCTTCAAAATTAGTAAAATTAATTTAATAAAAAGAAAAAAAGGGAGGGAGAGGGGAATCTTTTGATAATCCAAGATTAAATTTCTGGTATTCAAAAAGCTGGTGCAGACCTCTTGCTACAAGTGACCACAATTTTTATTGAAGTAACAATGCATTGCAGTGCCATGCAGCCTTTTATTGTTTTATTGTGTATTTTTGATACATAGAATGTTATATTTTTTACTGTCTGTCCTGCAAAGACTGCTCAAAAGGCCAGTGGTGTGAGTGGTTGCAGGAAGGCCAAGCTGCCCAGGTGTTTGCCAGGGCTCAGGTGTGCAGAGAGGGCAGTGCCAGCAGGGCTCTGCCCTGCTCTGCCCATCCTGCACCAAGTGCACCTTGGCTGTGCTTTACACTGTACTGGGCAGGCAGGCTCATCAGGAATCCCTCCATTCTTGTATCTGCTCTGTTCTCCTGGACCTCATGGCTGTCCCTGCATCATTTTTCTGTCTCTTGTAGATCTGTGAGAGTTCTTACAGTTTTCCTGTACTGGCAGTACGGGTGTGAGTGTTCTGAATGTCTGTGCTGTTGGACAAATGAAGACCATTTTCCTCTCATCTTTTACTCAGGTCTAAGAGGAAGGCTGCTTTCATTAAATAAAACCTCAAAGCTTGAAAAAGTCTGATCACAAAACTAAAAATACAAAGTAAAAGGTTCAGTAATGCTCAAGAATTGGAGCAATCTGTGGCCTTTTATATCTGGAAAGGGGAGAGAGGTGTTGAACATCTGGCTCAGGCAGTCAGGTGTGGGTGGCCAGGGTAAGTCCTGAAAAACAACCCAGTGGGAAGGTGCTGTGATAGAACTCCACAATCCCTGTAATATCTCCTTTGCCCTTTTTATCCTGGGAACTGATGCTGTTAGAGGGAGGGAGAATGAGTAGCCAGGTAGTTCTGCTGCTTATGTACCTGTGCTCATGTGTCTGAAGGTGTAATCTCTGGTGCTCCTGTCTAACAGTATTTCCGACCTGCAGATGAACCAGATTGGTTAGAAGGGCGTGTGACCTCTTTAAAAGCTTTTAAAAAATTTGCTATTCCTCAAGAAACAATATCTTAGAGATATCATTTATCTCCCTTGTCTGCATAAGATTGAGTTTCATTTTGATGTAATTTTGTTCTTGTTGATTTGGTTTGTTTTTAATTTGTTACTAACTGCACTTTATACTTGGAAAAGATCTTTTGTTTATGTTAAACCAAAAGTGTATACTTAAGTTCTGAGAGCATTTCTTTTCTCAACATGTTCATGTGAACCTCTCTGAAGAATAAATTTATAAACGATGATTTACTATTCTTTTAAAAAATTGCAGTGTGTGGACTTTATTAAAAACAGTCTTACTGTGTCATCCCAAGCAGCCAAGGTGTTCCTGCCTGCTGTCTGTGGGAGAGCTTCCCTCTGAAGAGGTTCTTGGTTCCTGTCTCCTCGTGGGCAGTGGGGTCCAGGCTCAGGGAGGGTCCCAGCACTCCTTGTGCTCAGTGTGGCCACCTGGCCCTGCCACCCTGCCACAGCCTGGGCAGCCACCCCAGGGGCCAGGGCAGCCTTGGGTGCTGCTCCAGCTGCTGGGGAGGGGAAGGTGAAGGTGAAGCCCTGCCTGACCAACCGAGTCACCTTCTGTGCTGAGGGGACAGTGGTGGTGTCAGCCTCAGTGGGCTGGGGCTGGGTGAGCAGGGCTGGACCAAAGCCTGGCTGCAGGACTGGGTTCAGAGTGTGGGTTATCAGTGGCACAAGTCTTGTGCTAGGGGTGGTGCTGGCTCCAGTTCGAGGCCCATCACTTGTGGACAGGGTCCACCCTCAGCACATTTGCAGATGGGGAGACGTGGCTGGTGCTCCAGAGGGATGTGCTGGGATCCAGAGGGGTCTTACCAGGCTGTAGAAAGGGTCTGACAGGAACCTCCTGAAGGTCACGAAGAGGAAATGCAATGCCTGTGTCTGGGAAGGGTAATTTCCTTCACCAGGATATGTTGAGGCCATCCACCCATGAGGAAGTGTAGAGGAAGGGATCCAGGAGTTCACCATGACACAAAAAACGTGCAACAACTCCTCTTTCAGCCAAGTGTTCCAGCAGTGTCCTGGTGTTGTCAGCAGGTACAGAACCCTTTCCCTCTGCTCCACACCAGTGAGGCCAGCCCTGGAGTGCTGGGCCCAGAGCTGGGCTGCCCAGGACGGGACACAGGGACAGACTGGACAGAGTCCAGCACAGGGCCATGAAGCTGATGGAGGGACTGGAGCGTCTCTGCCATGAGCAGAGGCTGAGAGAGCTGGCACTGCCCAGCCTGGAGCAGAGCAGGCTCAGGGCATCTCATCCCTGTGGATGAAAAGCCAGGGGGAGGCTGCAGAGGGGACAGGGCCAGGGACAGCCCCGGGGGCCTCGGGCACAAAGTGACCCACAGGAGGGGCCCTCCGAGCTCAGGAGACACTTCTGCACTGGGAGGGTGGCCGAGCACTGCCGCAGGTGCCCGGGGAGCTGGGGGAGTCTCCATCCCTGCAGAGACTCAAAAGCCACCTGGACACATCCTGGGCAGCCGGCTCTGGGTGGCCCTGATGGAGCAGGGGCTGGGCCAGGTGACCTCCAGAGGTGCCTCCAGCCTCCCCCAGCCTGAGCTCCTAGCCCAGGGCCACTGGCAGAAGTGTGAAATGGGCCTGAAGTCGGGCTCTCTGTCAGTGAGGGGTGAGGCAGTGCTGGGATTAGGATAAGGTCCTGGTGGACACAAGGGTGATCCCAGGGTTTGGTGCTGTGCAGCCATTTTCAGCAGGGAGCATTGGTTGGCACCAGGCACAGGGGCTGGGTGCCCTGAAGGGCTGCAAGGGGCTCCAGGCACGTGTCACTGGGGGTCTGGGACAGTGGAGGGGGTCAGTGGCACTCTGCACGTGGAGGGGGGAGATATGAAAGGGTAGAGAGAAAAGGGGTATGAGAGGGTTGTGTTGAAAATAGGGCTGGTCAGTGTAGTGTCTGCCTGAGCCCTGCACCATCCTGTCTGTCCTCTTAAATCCATTTTCACCTATTTCTTAGTGAAACTCCCAGCCTGTGTGCATGTGTGCTGCAAGGAGTAAGTGCCAGCTGCTGGAGAGATGGCACAGGTTGGCCATGGGAGATGGAATCAGCAGGGAAACAACTGGTGAGGTTCAGCACAAGGTACTCAAGGGCTGGGAGGGTAGGTGGGTGTAAAGCTGGGGCTCTGTGGGATGCAGCCTCACAAAATTGCAGATTTAGGGACAGGAGCTGACATCAGGTGAGGTCATGGGGTGATACTTCAGCTGGATGTCCAGCTGTGCTCCCATGATAAATACATCAAATGTGGTCAAACCAGACAGGCTCCAATGGAACCCCATGAGCCACCCCTGCCTGGAATCCCCCTGAAGGGCTGGTTCTGCTGCTTGGACAGGGGTGCTGGACAAGGAGGAGGAGGAGATCTGGCTCAGCCTCCAGGAATGAGGCTAAACCCTGTCAGCCAGGCAAGAGGCAACAGGTTGTGGATCTCTGGCTGGGAAGGGCTCTTGTCATCCCCTCCTGAGGAGGAAGCCCTGGTCCTCACAGACAGAGGGTGTGACTGTGCCAGAGGGGGGATGAGTCCCTGAAACAGTGCCCCAGGCTGACCCCCCACTCTTGCTGTGGCCACACAGCCCAGGTTGGGACAAGACATGGCTGTCACAGCTGCTGGCCTGCTCCCCACCGTGGGTCCTGCACACCTTCACAGAGCCATTCAAGGGGCAAGGATGAGGCCAGGAGAAGTTTATTGAGGAATGGTGACCGTGCTGTCCCCAGCACTGCCAGAGCCAGCCCTGGGGCAGAGGCTGCCTGGGCTTGCTCAGTCCTAAAGTGTCACTGCCCTTGAAGCTTCCTTCTCCCTGTGGGGCTCTGCCGTGCCCGGCTCTGCCAGTGCCCTGCCCCTGGGGCAGCTCTGCCTCTCCCAGCCAGGTGCTTTGGGGTTGGGCTGGGGGTTAGGGCTAGGAGTAGAGTTAGGGTTAGGGCCCCTGTGGGCCCATGCACACACTCTGGGCTCCCCAGCCACATGGCAGCGACACTGCAGGCCTGAGACCCCGCTGCTGTTTTTTTCCAATCACGCTGCCCCCATTGGCTGTTCTTTCCCCGTGAAGTCGGGATATTATTGGGAACAGGTGAAAGGAGGAGGGGTGAGGCTGGTAGCATTCCTCAGGCTCTGCAGGTGCTGTCAGGGAGCAGCTGTGCTCGAGACATCAGTCCAAAGAATCCCCTCTCCTGCACCTTTTTTCTTGGGTGTCTTTGTTGGGGTCAGGCCAGACCCCACATTTCCAGATCCTGGATGCAGAACTCCTCCCGCTGTGAGAGGGTCTCGTTGTCGAAAGTCTCGCAGGGCTGGCTGCCCCCGTGGCGCAGGTCCCCGTCCAGCCACAGCCCAAACCTTCCGCTGCGAATGTGCAAGAGCGCGGTCAGCTGCGACCCGCCTCCTCCATGGCCGGAGACCTCCCACGCCACCTCCTGGGCTACCGGCCACCTCCCGTCCTCACTCTCTGCTCCCCAAAACGGACATGAGACGGGACAAGCAGCGGGCCCAGGTCTGTCACCGTGCCTGCAGGCAGGGAGCGGCAGGGAAGGTGCTGGGAGCGGGCAGGGAAGGGGCAGGGAAGGGACTGGGAGAGGCAGGGAGCGGGCTGGGAACCGGCAGCCCTTCCAGCGGGCAGTAGGGTCAGGGAATAAAAGGCCCAGTGCTGCTGGACAACCGGCGCCAGTGTTTTGGGGTTCAAAGCATCACGACGCGCTTGGACCCAGCTCCGTAGGGGAGCCTGGGTTCCTGTGATGGCTCTGATGGCCATCGGGGCTGGGGACCCTCTGATCCGCTCAAGCTGCCGGTGCAGTTCCTACCTCCCCCCACCGACCATCAGCAGATTCACATCCCCGTTCACAAAGAAGTCGTTCCTGCCCGTCCACCTGAACACCTGCATGGGGACAGCACTCAGGGGACCGTGGACTGGGGCAGTGTCCCCATCCCCATTCCTGTCCCTGTCCTGCGAGGACCAGCTGGGGGCTGCTGAGCCAGGCTGGCTCTGCTCGGGCATCTCCGTGTTCCACATCTCCGGGAGACCTGGCCGAGCATGTGGTTCGGATCCATCCCTGCCAACAGCCCTGTGGGCCCTCCCAGGGCACAGCTGCCCCCACTAACACGCACAGCAGTGCCCGACATGGCTGCTCCACATTCTGCCAGCCTAGAGCTGGGCTGTGACCGCCGTGCCATGTGGAGGGAACCCGGTGACAGCCAGCTGGGCAGGGTCCCCTTCCCTGATCTTCCCTTCCCGACACTGCCTGGGATTCGCCTTTTCCCCCCAGCCCTGGGGAAGCGCGGGGCCAAGCGCAGCCCCGTCCCCCCGGATCCCCCCAGCACCGCGGGGACCCCCAGGCACGGCCCGGCCCTCGGGGCACGGCCAGCCCCGGCCCGGGTGCCCCTCGGCGGGCAGCCCGCAGCCGCACCTTCAGCTCGGGGCAGAAGGAGAAGAGGAAGGTCTCCCCCGTGCCGTAGAAGCCGCTGCTGCTGCGAATGGCGGTGGCGGAGAAGGCACCGAAAGCCTGGGGAAGCAGAAGGGGGAGACTCACGGGGCTGCGTCCAGAGGGGCTCCCAGCGCCGGGACGTGTCCCCGTCCTGCCGACGGAGCGAGGAGGTGCCCGAGCCCCGAGTGACGCGGGGCAGCCGGGCTGGGGAGGGCACGGCCGTACCTGCGCCTCCGTGTCCCTGATGAACAGCAGGGCCGGCGAGTCCGGCCGGGCCCCGCTCCGGTACAGCGTCCGCAGGCTGAAGCCGTCCCGCCCGGTGGAGTAGAGCAGGTGCCAGGGCTGCTGCATCAGCCGCGGGGGCAGCTGGGGGCCCAGCTGGGGCACAGCGGCCTCAGTCGGTGCTGATCGGCTGAGCATCCTCCCCCCGCCCCAGCACTAACCTGAGATCTCATCGAGGAGGTGGAGCACGCATCATCCCTCCAAGCAGCCTCCAAGCACCCACCTGAGCATCCTTCCGAGAGATGCTTCCAAGCACTCTCCCCTTCAACACATTCCCAAAGCGTCCTCACCCCACAAACCCTTCTGAGATGGCTCCCCAAGCATCCTTCCCCCTAAGAGGTGACCGTCCCCAGGCACAGGGAATGTCACCCATCTGGCCTCACAGGGGACCATTCCTGGTAGGACAGCGGTCACGGCTGTGGGTACGGGGCAGACGAGCAGGGCAGGGTCCCTGTGCAGGCCGGGGTGCCTCACCTCCTCGATGTCCCTGTCCCGCAGGATGCTGCTGGGTGTGCTCAGCACCAGCCTGCTCGGCTCCTCCTCCTCTGCTGCCGGGGCTCCCTCCCAGCCCCGCTGCCCCTCTCCAGCTGGGTCCTCGCATCCCATGGGCAGCTCCTCGTCCTGGTCGGGCTGGGGGCAGCAGGAGATGAGCATCACTGCGGGCCCGAGGGAGCAGCAGCTCCCAAACCCGCCCAGCGTGGGGCGCCTCCCATCCTCTGTCCAGGGACTGGGACAAGGGGCCCCAAGTCCACGGGAATGGGCACCAGGCTGAGCCTACAGCCCAGCTCCCGGCTGCCCGCTGCTCCTGGCAGCCCAGGCGCCATGCCATGCCATTACGTGCCGTGCCATGCCATGCCATGCGTGCCGTGCCATGCCATGCCGTGCCTTGGCACCCCGCCAGGCCGTGGCACCGCTGCACACGGAACTTCAAGGGTGTATGGCCACCCGAGGGGGAGGAAGTGGTGGAGGAGGAAGAGAAGGCAGGGAAGGCTTCTCCAGCTGCAGCCCCGTAGAAGGGGTGAAGCCTTGCCTTTTTGCTCACGGCCAGGCCGACCTCGCAGCGTGGAAGGGGTCGGGGATGTGCCGCGGTCCTGCTGGCCGCTAGTGACAAGTGTCTCAGCCAGCCACGCGTTCAGGCTGTGGGTGCAGCCCATGCCCGAGGGCTGCCGGGATCCTGGGGAGGCAGCGGCTGCAGGGGCAGGTCCCGCTGTGCCCATCACCCCCGCACCTGCCCAACCCCTCCCTGTCCCCAGGGCAGCCCCCTCTGTCTGTCCAGCCCCGTGTCCAGCCTGGTGGTGCGTCCCAGCGCTGCCCCAGAGCTCCTTCCTCGCTCTCCCTCCCACGATGGACCTACCAGGAGCTGGTAGCCGTACCGGAGCCCCCTCATTGCAGCTGTTTCTGGGGTGCTGGGGCTGTGCCGCAGGGAGCCCTGGCCACCGCCCGGGGTTAATGTTCAGCCGCGCCGGCCCCTCCCTGGCCACGGGTGCGTGACAGGGCTGGTGCGGGTGCCAGCGGCCTGTCTCGGCTCCGGGGGTGCGTGGGCAGGCATCCCGCTCCAGACAGGGCGTGCTGGCCCATGGCTGTCACCTCTTTGACAGCCCACGGTCACCTGGAGCCAAGCGCAGAGCCCAAGGCCAGGGCTGCCCTTGTGGCCCGTGCAGAGCCGCTCTTTGCAACACAACTGTGGCAATGCTTGTGGCAACTGCCAACATCTGTGGTGGGGTGACCCTGGCTGGGCACCAGGCACCTGCCAAGGCCTCTCTTACTGCCCTCCACAGCTGGACAGGGCTGAGAAAATACAGCAAAAGGTTCATGAGTTAAGGACTGGGTGCAATCCCTCATCCAATACTTTCAGGGCAAAACAGACTTGAATTAGAAATATTAACTGAATTTATTACTAACAAAATCTGAGCAGAATAATGAGAAGTAAAATAAGACCTTAAAAAAAACTTTCCCCACACCTCTCTCCTTCCCAGCTCTGCCTCCACCCCTCCAGCAGTGCAGAGAGATGTGCAATACGGGTTATGATCAGTTCATCACCTGGTGTTTCTGCTGCTGCTCAGGGAAAAGAGTTGCAGTCCTTCCCCTGCTCTGGCGTGGGCTCCTCCAGGGGCTGCAGGGGCACAGATGCCTCCCCATGGCCTTCCCCATGGAACCCCAGGGGAATCTCAGCTCCAGCTCCTGGAGCAGCTCCAGCCCCTCCTCCTGCCCTGCCCTGGCTGTGTGCAGGACTGTTCCTCTCACGTATTTTCATCTGCTCTTCTCTGATTGCAATTACATCTATGCAGTAACTTTTTTCTTCTACTTAAATCCCTGATCCTTGAGACATCACCACCATCTGTGCTGGGCTGGGCCTTGGCCAGCAGTGGCTCCATCCTGGAACCATCTGGAGTTGGCTCTGCCAGACACAGGGGCAGTTTCTGGCAGCTTCTCACAGAAGCCACTCCTCTAGCCAACCCAATACCAAAACCTGGACACACAAACCCAGTACAGGAGGCCCTGGTGGCAAATGACCCTCACTGAGGGAGCCAGCTTGGGACTGGCAGCTGAGGGAGGGAGCTGCTGGCTGAGGGACCTGCCAGGCTCAGGGGCCTCTGGAGAAGCCCCTGCAGAGCAGGGAAGAGGTGCCGTGCCCCAGTGCAGCCCCTTCTCACTGATGACATCCCCAAACCACTCAGCCTGGCTGAGCCTCCGTTTATGCCAATTTAGGACTTCCTGTGTGCCTTGACTGGTGGCACGATGGCCTTGATGCCTAGCCCTGGGCCCACTGCAGGCATTTTTGGGTTGTTCCCCATCTCCACAGCAGGCCCACTGCAGCCCTGGTGGGTGTCTGCTGTGTTGTCCCCACAGCATTGGGAGTCTGGAGGTTCCTGGTGCCTGGCATTTGGTCACTGGCAGCACTTGGTGGGGACCAGGCAGTTCTGGTGACCCCAGGGCTCCCAGTCCCTGCCCAAGTTGTGTTAGCATTGCAATCCATGTCCCTGCCCCTACCCCTGCCAGTGCTTCTGTCCCTGCCCCATCTCTGCTCCTGGTCCCACCCTTCCATACCCCTGTCCTTGACGCTGTGCCTGCCCCTGCCCTGTCCCTTTACCCTTTCATTCTCCCTGCCCCTACTCTGCCCTTTCCTCCTCCTCACCCTTGACCCTGCTCCTTGTCCCTCCCCTGGCCCTGGCCCAGCTGTCTCTGCCCTCGCTCCTTCTCTGCCCCAGTGCTGACCCCACCACCTTCCTCAGGACTCCTTGAGTCCAAATTTGGGACTTGCTCCTTCAGGACACCCAGACGGAGCCAGCACAGGGGGCCGGGAGTGGGCCCAGCCCCGGGACCAAAGGCAGCTCTGCACAGGACAGGGCACTGCCTGCAGCCGGCTCAGCTGCCCTACAGCCGGGCTCTTCCAGCCTGCCCCACAGACCTGCTCCATTTTTTGTCACTCGTTTCCCCCCACCAAGCCGTGTTTGCTTTCAGATCCTCTCCCAGCCCCTCCCGTGCCTTCCACCCCGCCCTCACCCTGCAGCCGCACAGCCAGAGCACACACACAGAGGTGTCCAAAACTCGCACAGTTTTATTTATTTCGCTCCCGGCCGTGCCCCCGCCGGCCCGAGGCTCCCGTCGGGGCCGCCCCAGGCCGGGCGCGGCTCCACCCCCAAAGCGCTGACAGAAGTGCAGTAAGGCAAAAGTTTGAATTGTCCGGAAAGAAGGATCTCTTTACAACCTGCCTGGGCTCACCCATCCATCAGCTGCTCCGTACCCGGTGCGGTTTCCATGTCTCATTCCCAACCTCCGGCTGTCCCGCGGGAGCAGTGGCGATGCCGGAGGCGGCTGTCACACTCTGGTCACTGCATCTCAGTGCCAGCCACAGCCAGCAGAGCTGGTGGCTTCACCCCACAGTGTCACATTCAGGGGGCAGTAGCAGCAGCTCCAGGGTGAGCAGGTCTGAGTACAAAGAGGAGTGGGGGGGACCAGGGGAACTGATTGAAGGGAGCCCCCATGCACAGCCTGGAGCCCAGCACTGACTGGCACAGGGTGACACAGACAAGTGCACATCCTGTAGTGATAAGCAGCTGTGGAACAACTCCGTAACAGCAGTGGCTGAGACTCCTCCTGGATTTGGTCTGGGGCCTTACAGGGAGATTGTGACACCTCCTGGTCCCAGCTGCTGCCCCAAGTGATCACAGCAGCACAGTGTGAACCCCGCACTGCCGGGCTTTATCACCCAACAGAAACTGGGAGCAGTGGGAGTCCATCTCCTCAGTAGTATTCCCTCGGAGACCTGCAATGCCTCTGTGCAGCTCCTGGCATGGCTATGTTGCTCCAATGGGATAGAGCAGTTACCTGGTACCCACCTTGCTCCTGATCCCATCCCAGTTCTGGTTCCTACTCATGTTTGTTTGAGTGCTGAGGTTACCAGGTGTGGCACCAGCTCCAGATGCTGCCCAAGGTCATTGTCCTTAGTCACCCAACCTTTTCACAGCACCCACTGTGACTGAGCACATGGGATTCTTCCAGATCCCTCAACAGTAGAACCACCAAGAAATGGAACCTGCAGCCAGGCTTGGGGCACCAGGTACCCCGAGCCTGCCTCGTGCCAAGCAGGAGCATTATTGGTCAAAGCAGTGAAGGGGAAGGTCCCCGGAGAAGCAAACATCTCCAAGAAGCAGTGGTGGAAAACAGTTCATGGTCTGAGCTGCGGCCCTGGGTTTAGCTCAGACACTCCGGCTCTTGCTGGACTGCCCAGAGCTGATGGCTGAGGTCGAAGTGAAAAGCACAGCTGAGGGAGGAGGCACTGCAGCTCTGAGAGTCTGTGCTGAGCCTGCAGCTCAGTGGTTATTCCCAGAACCTCAGCCCTTTCTTTCAGTAGGTATCATTCCCAAAGTCAGACCTCCTTCAGGGAACCTTCCCCACCCACCCCATGTAGTCCAAGCTTTGCATGTTCCTCGGAGTGGCCCATGTCCCAGGAAATGGTGGTCCAGTCCTTACTTCAGAACCAGCATGGCCTCTGTCCCGTCCTGCCTTGTCAGGTGCAGCCCGTGGGTGAGGTAGTACTCCCGCCGGAGGAAGGCATAGAAATAATCCGAGATGAGCAGGATCTGTGGAGTGAGATGTTCACACACATCAGTGCTGCTCCAGAGCAAGGAATAAAGAGGGACACGTGTTGGTGACAGACCCTGTTGGGGGTCAAGCAGCTCCGGGGCTGTTCAGCACATGCTGCTGGAGGAGCCACTGTGACCTTGGGAACACCTTGTCCATCCCCTTGCCATGTTAAGCCAGGGGAGACTCACATACAGCAGCTCCATAAACTGCCAAAGTGTATGACAATGGCAGGTCCAGCTGTGCCACAGCTGCACAGGCATCTCAGCTGCACCCACAGGACTCCTTCTATCCAAGTGTTGTCCCAGAATCACAGGGCCATTTTAGCTGAAAAAGACCTCTGAGATCACCAAGTCCAACCTTCGACTGATCCCCCACTGTGTCACCCAGCCCAGAGCACTGAGTGCCACATCCAGGCATCCCCTGGACACCTCCAGGGGTGGGACTCCACCACCTCCCTGGGCAGCCCCTTCCAATGCCTGACCGTATTTTCTGTGAAGAAATTCCTCCTAATGTCCAACCTGAACCTCCCCAGGCACAGCTTGAGGCTGTTTCCTCTCATCCTGTCCCTGTTCCCTGGGAGCAGAGTCTGACCCCCCAGCTGCACCCTCTTGTTGGAGGTGCAGAGTGAGAAGGTTCCTCCTGAGCCTCCTTTTCTCCAGGCTCAGCCCCCCCAGCTGTTCCTGGGGCTCAGTTCCCTTCTCTGGCTGTTCCAGCCCTGTAATGTCCTTCCCGAGCAGAGATGCCCAGAACTGGACACAGCTCTTGAGGTGCCTCACCAGTGCCCAGCACAGTTGACAGTCACTGCCCTGGTCCTGCTGCCACCCCATGGCTGTACAGGCCAGGTGTCAGTGGCCCCTTGCCCACCTGGGCACACCAGGCTCTTGTTCAGCTGCTGTTGAGCAGCACCCCCAGGGCCTTCCCAGCCACTCTGCCCTGAGCCAGGACACGTCTGGCTGTACTGAGGCACATGGTGAGACTGTTCCCACTCCTGGGGCCTTGAGATGGCAGGAATGGGTGACAGTGGATTCTCTAAAGCTGCAGCCATGGGAAGCTGCCACTGCTGGGGCAGACTGGGCTGTGGCAGGGACCTGCTGGCTCAGTAGTGCCATTTGTCACTTAGCCTCTTGAAGTGTGACCTTCCCACAGGACTGATGCCTTCCCCCATCTGGAAACAGGAGCAGGTAACTAGAGTGGAAAACCTTTTCAGTGCCAGCCCAAGCTGGTAGTTATTGTCCTCATGTCCTAGTGCAGATGCCACTTAAAGCATCCCTTTGGCACTAAGCACTGCTGTGTACCTCAGGTGACCAAGGGCACAGAGGGAGGGACAGTCAGAGCCTGCCGGGGTTACTGTGCAATACAGCACAGAAAAACACAGCAGCTGCTGCAGAGGCTCAATGGCAGGAGAGGGGGGGATGGAGGAGCAGGTGCAGAGCAGGGGAAAGAGAAATGGGGCTGCAGACTGCTGAGGTCAGGGGAGAAAGTGTGAAGGAGAACAGACCCAGGGAGGGGGTCAACCCAAACAGCCATGATCTGCTTGCTTTGCTGCACTGCTGACAGGCTCTGTCAGCGCAGCTGGTTTACCTTTACCTAAGCTTCTCTGCAGATATCTAAATGGGAAAAGAAAGAGCTGAGGTGGGGATGAGGGCTAGATTTTCTCACAAGGAAATCAGACAAGAGACTTGCTGTCTGCATTTACACAGAGCACAAGACCTTGCAGGACCTGCTATGACTTTCTCAGGTAGGAAATAAAACCCTCTTAGAATATCAACAGCTGCTATTTCTAGTTAAAGTTTTACTATTCCTTTCATTGCATAGGACCTGTAACGAACCATTCCCAGTTTTCTATCAGTCCCTCTTAGCAGAATCTCTACTCTCCCTCTCAACCTGTGCAGCCTCTTTTGGTTTTACCAAATAAGTGTTTTCCCCATTAATCAAGGGTAAGAGTAGGTGATTTTTTGCCCCTGGCCAAAGCATTCCCCTGGCTTTAGGAGAAGCAGACAAGCATAAATGGCTGAGGCACATTCAAACTAAAGGCAGCTTTAACATGAAATGAACGTTCTGCTCACCCACACGTCAAACTGCCCCAGGGCTCAGGTACATGACAAGCAGCACAGAGAAGAGAAAGGACTTAAAAAAGGTTGTAGCACCTGTGTACACTGAGTTCCATCCTTCAAGGGTGCTAAGCCCTGCTTTCCCTAAGGCCAGTGGAAGTCATGTATCCAGAATGGTCTTGGGAAAGGCAGGGAGGGCAAGTCCTGGCATCACTGGGACCCTGCACGTGCTGCCACGTCTCAGAAATACTGGTGTCATGTCCTTGAGCATGGGCAGGTCTCATTTGTCTGTTTCCTGGACCCACGGCCACTGCCCTGAAGTTTTTCCATTTCCCCTCTTAGCTCTCCTTCTCCATTCACTTGTGCTTGGCCCTGCCATACTGGGATGCTTTTCCTTGGCCATCAGCAGCAGAGCACAGAACCTGCAGTTGGCCGGGTTGGGTTGTTAAGCCACAGCTCACACCACAAGAACTCTTTCCCATTAGTGTGTCAGGGGTTGAGGAACAGACAGAATCCAGGAGGAGAGCCAGGAAGCTGCTATGCAGGACCACACAGGATGCAGAGAGCTAGCCCCATCCTGCAGGATTCACTGCTGCTGACAGGCCACCCCCTCCAGCAGCCTGCCCACAGCGCAGCTTCATTTGCCTCACTCTACTGACCTGCCCTATGTTGAAAGTCAATGTGATGGCATAATAAAAATTGGAGTTGGCACTTCCTGCATAAATCCATAGATGCCACAGAACAGGGAACAGGAAGGAGCAGAAAATGAGCACACATGACAGGATGAAGATGTTCCGGAGGACTGTAAAAGAAAACCAGCTGTTAAAATGAGGTATTACTGAGCAGTCATGGTCACACAACCAGTAATGGTATTTGGGGTGTGCAGGGGGCGAGAGGGACTTGCCAAGACATACTTTCCTCCAATAACCTTCCACAGGTTGCTTTAGTAACTTTTTGGATAGTGGTTATAAGAAATCCACTATATTTCCCTTCAAAATAAATACTTCTGCCTTTGTTGCAGTGTGAAATCCCCATTTGTAGCTCTTGCCTTCTAGATCCTGCTTCCAAACACTTTCTTGGATGACTTTGGCTTTTTGGTATCTACACTACAGTAACCAGCAGCCTGCAAAGGGGCCTTGCCAGCAGCACCCAATTTGGAAAGCAGAGCAGTTCAATCCCTTGCCTCATCAAGCTAATGACAAAGGAAAAAATGAATCTGTGGGTTATAGGACAAGATACTTTCCTGGGAGGTGGCAAGGAAATGAAAGCACCATAAAAGGAAGAAAGTCATACAGGCCAAATGCACTGACAGACACATGACATGGGGAGGTGCAAGAACCCAGCAGTCTGCCTGAGTACGTGTCAGGTGGACAAAAACCAAGCATAACTTTGTCTAAAAGAGCTGGGAACTACCAGGCCAGGAGAGGTTCTGTTTTCTGTGAAGTGCTTATGCCTGTCCTTTGGTAGCAGTGCCGTAATCCATCCTGACACTTGTGCTGCTGTGCTTGGCTGCAGCTCAGCCCATGCCCACCACCCTGCAGTTGAGGGCAGACGATGTTTTGGAGCATTGTTGCATCCAAACCTTTTCCCACCTATTTTAAATTTATTGTTCAGAAGGTCTGTTCACACACTGCAGGGTGGGAGCCTGTGACAGATGATTGTCCCTCCCCCTGCATGTTTGGAATGTGGAACTGAACTATGCTGAGCAAGCACTTTAAGAAGTTCATCACCTGCTACAGCTGTGATGTGTTCAGGGCCAGCCTGGGGATTCCTGCCCTGTTTCATCACAGCTGCTGTGAGCTCAGCTCTCCTGAGTCTGAAACCCACAGAGCATATGGTCTCCAGGTCTCCTGATTATGTCTCCTACAACAGGCAGGTGAGCTGTCCATGAACACACTTGGCCTGGCTTGGAGAAGGCTGCAGTGAAAGGCCTGGACAACCTGGCATGGTTGGTCAGAGCAGTTGGTTTAAACAAGAAATGCCAGAAAAACTCAACACCTCCAAGTCTCCCCATGGAAGCAGGTTCTATAGACTGAGCCTGAGAATCCACAGGAAGTTCTCTGTGATTTCAGGAGATAAAGAGAGTCTTTTTGAAGCATTTAAGAAAGTCTGGACAACTGCTTGGAGTAACTCAGTTATTTTCACTCTAAGCAAACAAGCAGATACAAAACAAAGCACAACTGCAAGATTCAGCACTTTAAGGCTGGGGGACTCGCCAAATGCAGGAGCACTGTTCAAATTACACAGCCTTAAATGGGAGTGGAGCATCTGGAGGATGTAGGACTGCCAAAGGTTCTTATAAAAAAGATAATCTTCAGAACAAGTTGGAGAGAGGGGGAAGATAAGGTACAAGGGAAAATTCCCTCCTTGACCAATTTCAACCCAAGTCCTAAAGACATGTTAGGGATTGTAGCACCAGAGGAAAAAACCTCCAAAATCCAGCCTCCTTCTAGACACCCCATGGAGGCCATGAGAGCCTATGAACTTGGGTCTGGTTTGGTTTAGTGGTGACCATTTAATTTAATTATTTGGCAGGCCCTTTTACATTCCAGATAAGTAATAATCAAGCACAAAGAACTTACATCTGTAAAGGTGGCTCCAGACTGGAAGGAAGGCCATGTACAGTGCAACGTCTCCCACGGTGGGATAGGACTTGAAGATAGAAATGATGGCGAGCTGGACAAACAGGAAGAACACAGGATGTTCCCTGGAAAGGAAAACAAAGGCTAAGAGGATGCAGTAGGGCCTCTGGAAACTGTAAATGAATATCAGCAAGGGCACAGATGTGCTGCAGGACAGGCTCAAAGAAGCTCCTGCAGCCCTGTTCTCTTCAAACTAGGCTCCAAATGCTGGGTGGGGTGGATGGAGCTGCCCTGCAGAGCAGCAGGGTCAGGGGAGGCACATCTGCCACAGCCCTCACCCAGCAACCTCAGTGCACATTTACACCTGCACTGTGCTTCCCAGCTCTGCCTTATTCACCAGAAGCAATTAGCGCCTGCCCTCTGATGGTAATTGGAGAAGCCCAAAGCCCAGTTATCCCTCTGGTCCACCTGATCTATCAAGTGTAAGCCAAAGGACAAGCTCACTGAGAATCCAGGTGTGTTAATGGGTGTTTTTATCAGAAAGAAGTCAATGAAGTCAAATAGAAAAGTCCTCAAGTTTCCACATTTTCTCTGACAATGAAGAGCTGGAAGTTCCAGCCAGCTCTTGCTTTCTGACTATGCTAGCACTTGTACAGCCTCCATTTCTGCTGCCTCTGTTGATACTTGCAACACAGAGTTCCACTGCAGAGCCCAAGTCACTATTTAAGAGGAACTGAAACTGAAGAGCTGAAACTATGGGAAATGAGGATGATAAGCCCTGTTAAAAATCTTTTTCAGGCTTGTAGGTCAAAACATCCAACTTCAGCCTTAGAAGTGTCCACTGGATAACTTAAGATTAAAAAAATGTGGTAGAGAAATACATTCATACTTACTTTAACTTTATTGCCAAAGGAATGGTGTAGAAGAACACATTGATTTGAAACACACATACAAAGAAAAGACTGAAGTGTTCAAACATCTCTGCAAAGAAGTACCAGAAAAGGCCAATATTGGGTGTCAGGTCTGGAACAGAAAGGCTGAAATTTGAAAAGAAAGTTGTGGTAAGTTTTTGAATGGTTGTTCTTCCCTGCCCTGCTTCTGTTGCATTAATTAATCATTGTGTGCTACTGGATGTAAGTCCTTAATTGTAAATCCATGAGAGAAACCAAATGGATGAAAAGATGGAGAGCAGGTTGAAATCCTGCTGAGGAATCTTTCCTGATGTCACAGCAGGATTTAAACCATTCTCAAGTAGACATTTCTCCAGAGAGGAATATCTCACAGCCATGGTAGCTTAACAACCAAATCCATTTCCAATCACTCAGTAGAAAACAGCTCCTGTCTTTTAATTTTTGCTATTATTTATTTAACAGAAATTGGAGCTGGCTAATGGCTGCTTTCCTCTACATATTCCTTCTTTTATTGCATTGCCAGTAAATCACAGAGCACACACTTCCTGGGTCAAGCACACACCTGTGTGTGATGGGCAAGAAAGAGTCTGTGTGGGCTGGATGGGGCTGGAGAGAAAACCATCAGTAAGAATCCTTATACTTACATAAACCCATAAACAGATGGGATAAAATCCCAGGAGTTGAGCAGGAAGAAGGAGAGGCAGATGATCACCACCAGGCTGCACAGGTACAGGGATGCATACTGCATGGTGTAGAGCCAGAAACTTTTGCTTTTCAGTTTGATAGGTATGAACTGGCGCTGAAAGAGAAACAGAAGCACCTCAGCAGGGGGAGAGCCACAAAAACGTGTGAGTGTTCAGAACATCATTTCAAATTGATGAAATTGATTAAACATTGGCACTATGGCATTTGAAGGAGCAGCTTTCAAGCACAATTTGCTTGTTGTTCTTCACTCTGGCCAATTAAATCACACACACTGCACTCTCAGAGCTGTGTTTGAAAATACAGTAGCAAAGCTGGTCATTTCTGCATGCAGTGAGTTCCCCATGTGAGCACACACACAAGTGTAAGATTTACACCCCTCCTCACAGTGCACTGGTACCTCAGATGTTTGCAATACTGCACTGGTCCCTGTCTTCTCCTGCCTGACCCCACTTGATCACCTGTTCTGGCTGAATGGTACCTTCTTTGATACTTTTTCTTCCTCTCCTGGGAAATTTATGTCTGTTTCTGACAGCCATCCCAAAACTTTATGTGTGAATACAGAGGCAAAGAATTAATTTGATTGTGCTTTAGTTATGTCTGTGTCTTCAGTCACTGAATTACCCAGGCTGGCTTTTAGAATTCTTCCAATGACCTCTTGTTCAATATGTTCTTGAAGAAAAAGAGGGTGACTGAAAGCCCTGCTCCAGAGCCTCCAGCCTGTGGCACCAGGCCTGGCCTGGCACGCCTGCTCTGCTGAAATCAGGGCAAGAGGACATCCACTGAGTTCCTAAGCAAAGAGGAGCCCCTCTGAAAGCTGGCATCCTCAGACAACGTCCTGCCACTGCCACGTGTCCTTGTCACATGGCAGGGATATCCCACTCCACCAGGTCCCCTGACTGCCTGTGTACAGACAAATACACCCAGGGGCCAACACCTTTGGGAATTGCTCAGCACTCTGCAGCTCCAGGTCAGTGATGTGGCTTTTCCATTTGGCCCTGGGATTTGCAGTGACAGGAGATGTGCAGAAAACCTGCCCTGGCTGCTGTGGGCTCTGGATTTTCTCAGTTGTAGTGGGCTTAATGTCACTTGCTGGGACAATGTAAACAACATTACCAGAAATTTTGGCAGGACAGATTGAAAAGAGCAGGAGAAAAGTGATTTAATTCTGTACAAAGAAAGCAGGAAACTTCATTTACAAATTTAGATAAAAGGACACACACTGGCATGACTGCCTTTAAAAGTTGCAAATTAGGCAATCACGTATCAAAGCACTTATTGTGTTTGTGTTGTATTATTGTTTGTGAATTCAAAGTACAATGCTTGCACTTCACTCCCAATTTACTTTGACTAAAGTTAAAAGAGAACAAATGAGGCTAAAATATTGAAGATAAAAATTCTCCTAAAATTCATCAAACTGAAAAAGCAACACTGACTACAGAGCTCTCCTGTAAAGACTAATAATAATAAAATTCCTGAAAAAAAGTAAGAGACATTCATGTCAGAGCAAGAAGATTAATTAGAACTGACTCCCATTCTGTCTGGAAACTCAGAGATTTGAGAACAGGCTAGTTAAGTAAAGATAAGGTATAAGCATCACCATCAGAAGCAACAAAAAAGAGTGGTGAAAGGTACAGCAGCAGCATTCAGAATTTTGTAAGAATTCTAAGAATTTCAAATACTAAACATTATCACAAAGTGATCTGTGAAGTGAGCTGAGCCTCTGCTGGCATCTCAGCCTCACCTTGCTGCCAAAGCAGGATAAAATTAGCAAGGGCAGCCCTGGTGGGATTCATGGAGAGGGAGAAAGAACAACCAGCCTCTTGCCAGAACATGCCTTTTGCCTTAAAACCCCAAACCAGTATTTCTGAACTTCTCTGGGTCTGAGCCCTTCATTGCTGCCCACACAACAAAAAGAACAGCACTTATTTTGGGCAAGCTAAACAGCACCCAGCTCTGTAGACTCCCTGCTCCCTTCTCTCCAAACACAGGCATTCCCATTCAGGGCTCAAACTTGCCATGGCTCATGAAGTCACTTTTGCTGAAACTCTGCCCTTGTCTGACTCCCCTCCCCAGGACTGCCCCTGCACAGCTACAAGAAGGCAACAGATACCAAGAGTTAGAAATCAACTACCTGTAGAAGGTAAAGCAGTGCTGGAGCAAACAGTGTGAGAGGGTAGAGTGATTGGTATGTTGCTAAGGCCAGGAACACAGCACTGAGGAAGGCACTACCTGCAAAGAAAAAAAAAGTTTATAAGGAACTTTTAGTATAAACAGCCATACAGACAGCAAGTCCAAATGGGAAGAAACTCATAAGCCTCTGAAGGGGATTCACAAGTATCATGACACCCCTTAAAGGAATTTTTAGCAGAATGTATCCTGCAGGGTGTCCTCTTGTTAATGACATTTTGAATGGAGAATGACTCATTCCATAAGAACAAACCACTGGCTGGTTTATATCTCCTGTCATTCACACACAGAAAGAGATTCATATAATTTAGTCTATATAAAGCCCATGCTAGCTGCTGTTAAAGCATGGGAATGCATTCACTTAAGTCATATCTGCATGTAAGAACTGCCATACTGGGCTTGCTGGATAACCTCATCACCAGAATGTGTTGCAGCCTCAGCAAAGCTGTGTGCAAGAGAGCAAGCAAAGTCTGCACTGAAGGAGTGGAGTAGCATTAGCTCTGCTTTACTGATACCAAAACTGAGGCATAGAAAGGATTGGCACAACTTTTCCAAGTGATTTTGTATGTATATATGTCTTTATTGAGGCAGCTTTATTTGAAGTGTCTCAGTGTTGACCACTCACATTTCTCAACTAATAACAGAAATATTCTCAGCCAATTAACAGAAATAATGTCCAAAAGATCTCAGGTTAAACAATAAAAAATGCAAGCACCCAGTGCAGTAGCCTGGTTATAGCTACAGACTCAATGGAAGTCCTCTGTAAAAACAGAGCTCAGACAGCAAGAGCCCTGACCCAGGGCACAGAACCACTGTGCCTCTGCTGACAGCAAACACTCAGAAAGCTCCTCTCTGCTTCCTCCTCTGAAAGGGAAAATACAGGGTTACCTGGTGATGAGCCTCTCCTCTCTTCAACTACACTCTCCTGACAGAAACCTCCCTATCCTGTGTTTTATCCAGTATTCTGTTCTGCACAGATCTAAATAAGTGATTCCCAGAAATCACAGTTATAACCTGATATTCTCTTTGCCCACTTCAACTCCAGAATGCTACACTTCCAGTCAGCGACAAACCACGAGACAGTTTTGTCTATGACCAAAGTTTTGGTCTCAGGGTATCAGTGAACAGTTAAAAATCAGTTTAACTAAATGGACTCCACTTGTTTGCAATTGCAAATGCTTTTAAATTAAAACACCTCCTGACTTAATTAGCCAATAATTATAGGAAAACGTTCTTTAGACAAAAACCATCTATATCAGCTTTTTTTTTTTTTTTTTTTTTTTTCAGTGCCTGGGTCTGGGCCCTGCTGGAGACAAAAGACCAGACTGACCTTTCCTCTGATCCAGCAGAGAACTCCTTAAAACTTAGGTAGGTGACTATTAGAAATCACATAGGCTAAAAGATTTTAGTACTGAGGAGTCAAAAGAAACAGAAAGCTGGCATTATGCAGAAAATGAATGAAACTGATTCTGACAAAATCTCTTACACTGGGCTGTTTTGGGTCTTTGGTTGCTGCTTCTGCTTCCCCAAAGCTTAATTAGTTCATTTGAAACCATGTTTACACCTGCGAGGGAAAGCCAAATAATAGCTGCAGGCAAATGCCTGCTTTTGAATAAAAGTTCAAGGATAAGCTTAGAAAATAAATTGTGTATGACATTTAAGTGCATATTCACATGCAAAAGAAGAGCAACAGAGCTCTTCTGTTCTGCAACACACAGACATGTTTCTTCCTGAACAGAAAACCATTTGAAGCCAACCAGGAAAAGGAGTCAGTTTTTAGTGTAAACTCTTGGGTACACTGAGGTGAAAGTAAGTCTTTACTTGACTAGAAAGTCTTTTGAAGTCACAAATTCATGTAGAACTTTCACCTTGTTTCAGTCCTGTTTGTGCCATGCTTCACTGAGATCTTTGTAGCAATCCTATCTGCAAAGCTCCTCCCGGATTTATTTTTTGCTACATTTCTAATCTTTCTAAAAAGTCATAAAGAACCCTTTTGCTTCACTGAGTTACCTTTTATTGTAGCTAAAATGAAGAATGCAATGACAGAGTTGTTGATGGCGCAGGTGGACTTTGCCACACAAGACATCACAGTGTAGGGGTTTAACAGGTAGCTGAAAAAGAGCAAAGCTCAGGTTACATCCCAAGGAGCATCTAATTAAAGAGATGTTCAAAGGAAAAAAAGGTGCACTTTGCCTTTTCTTTTAGTTTATTTACATTTGATGGGATCCTCTCATCAGCAAATTAATTCAGCTGAACAGGTTCTTCAATCTGAAGTAAAAACCAGACCTCTGAATTGCAGACTTGGACACAGGGGCCACAAGGAGCCCACTACAGAAATGAAACATTGGGAAGAGGTCCAAAATGCAAGTTCTGGCCTAGAAAATGACTACCAAAAATGCTTCTTGCTTTGCAGAAACATTATACATTTATTCAGTCAGATCTAGGACTATTGAGTCCAAAGGAAACTTTTTCTGCTACTCACACCAACTACTTCTGAAGAGGAATAAGGAGAAAACATGATGGAAAGAAATCTGAGACATAAGCAGAGTTTCCCACATCCCAGCCTCCTGCTGTGGCAGAGCAAGCCTTTACCTTTACCATGGCACTAGCTGAGCACAAGACCAGCCAGCTTTGCAAGACTGACACATTTTAACTGGAATTACAGAAAAACTCTTAACAACTTTACATTCCAGAATTCAGCCACACTTTAGTTAGCAAGCATGCCAGCTCCTTTTGGAAATAAGAATTACAATAATCTCATTTAAGTAGGTTCAGAGCAAAGAGAAAGGCTTGGAGGACTACCAATACAGTAAGTATGACAATGTAATGATCAGCCTTGCCAATAACTAAATTACTCATCAGAGTCAGTAGACAGGGCTAACAATTTCCTAATTCTCTCCTTATATTTTCCTGTATCTCCAAGTCCCAGTCTGTCTTTTTCAGTGTTTCCAGAAGGCAGCTCACAGCAGGACAGGTACAATTTAATGCCAACTTTGCTGTGGCAATGTACAAAACAGTCTGAAATTTACCCTCTTTACCCTTCTGGCCACAGGGACTGTGCCATTTAAAAAATTCATATGAAAATAAGAAAAAAATGGCAATTTATCTAATGGAGAACTCTCTCTGATACAGATCAATTTGGATAATTTCTTTGTGTCAAAATATCAATTTTAAAAAAATCTGTAACAGTAGGCGCCTTGATTGTATATTAGTTGAAGCCTTCTGAAATTAAAAAAAAATGTTTTGTATATAGAAGAACACCAAGACATAAAATTAATAAAATGACAACATCAAAACATCTTTTAACTGTTATAAGCAATTTGGGACATTCAAAGTGTGAAATTTGGGATATTCAAGTTGTGATATTCAGCACACACTCAGATGTTTTGTCCAGCTGCTGAGAAATTCTCCTAACTTTTCTGAAAAAGTTGGAAGGCAGAGGATCAATTTTGATAACATTATCATACAGGCAACATAAATGGGAATGTGATCTGTGCTGACTCAACATTCTTGTTACCCAGATAATGACCTTGCTGCTGAGCCCATCTCAAAGGGCCTGAGTGCATTTACTTGTTAGCAACAAGCACATGTAAATGCATCTGATTTTCATGTTCAAACTGAGTATTCAGGGCCAATAGGAAATTCAGAATTGTTGTGGGAAAGAAATCCAACTTTTGCCAGTTTTTGAAGGCCCAAACGAGACAAATAAACCCCAAAGGCAGCTGAGGAACCAAAGCAGCCCACTGCAGCCTACAGGAGCAATACTTACAATAGTGCTACCTTGAGGGGGATGTAGTGCATCTCCATGGGTGTCTGGATGAGTTCAGCCACATCTGGTGCATATTTATCCAGTTCTATTAGGAGCTTCTGCTTTTTGAACTGAACAAGGGAGAATGATCAAAGACTGTTAGAACAGGAAAGCCATTTTTGTGTACTACTTGTGTAATTCTATTTCATATTACTCAGCCAGTTACCTGGGGTTTCTATTACTGTGGAGCATATTCAAGCCCCTGGTGTGAGCTAGAACTTATGTGAGGACTCGTAGAGAACAAAAAACTCCTATCTTTCCCCAAACACTTAAAACCTGAAGTGAGAGTCAGGAGGAAGTAGATAATTTCTACTTGTTTAAACTTCCTTTATTACCTGTGTCTATGTCCTGACACAACTACCAGTGAGTTCACCACACTAGAGTCCAATACTCAATCTTCCTAACACCTCTCTGGACCTCTAATGAAAAGCTAACTTTATAAATTCACTGTTCAACAAACAAGCCCCTGAAAACCCAAACCCCACACATATGCACTCTTTGTTGTTTTAAAGATGGATACCTCTATGACAAATCTCTCTTCAATCTCTTTTGTTTTAGGAGGCTCTCTATAGAGACAAGAGAGAAATCTGAAATATGAACTGACTGAATTATGTTATGGTGAGACAGAAGAACAGAGATGCTAGCAGTGAATTCTCAACAACCAAAGTAACTCACATGTGGAATTCTTACAGGCCTGCAGTTCTATCCTGGGTTATTTCCTTAACCTCAAAGTCAGAGGACAGGGAACAAGCTCATAGCCTGGTGGGAGACCACAGAGATACTGTAGAAAATGTAGTCCCCTGCTGATGTTGATACCTAATCCCCACCCCTCTGGAACTGCAAAGAGCACAGCACTGCTTACACAAAATGTTCTTTGAGAGCTGGGAGGAATCACTCACCTCCAAATACACATCTTTATCATTTGAAGGGAGCGAGCAGTATTTGATGTCAGACTTTCACCATGCTCAAAAGAATGATCTATGTCCCCTCAGAACTGCTGGAAGGTTTCACTCCTTCCTTTACACATTTCTAGTCTGTGTATTACCTCATGCTCGGGTGCAAAGAAACCCTCTCCAAGGTATAACACCCAGGCTGGAGAAGATTGTGTGATCCCACTGCTGTGATCACCTCAGTGTGTAGCTACAGACATTGTAATAGTACAGAATTTAAAATGCCTCAGTTGTCTGCCACATTCAGTCCTGTTTGTTTATCATTAAAATATGACCAGATTTACTGCAACAAGAACTTGACACCACATCCTCTGGCACATCTTTTCTTTGGCCCAAGATAATTATATCTGCTGGGAGAAGAGGACCAGCCACACTGGGAAGTCAGCTTACCACAACTTTGTTGAAGTCCTGGATTGCCAAGTAAAGGGCAACAGCAGTTAGCACATCAGTTATCTAAAAAAGCAAGGGACAGACTGATTGTAAGCAAAACAAACAAATGGAGAAAAATATATTGGTCAGCGCTGACAGGAGCTCTGATCTGACTCAGCTCAGAGAAACAAAACACAAGCTTTAAAAATCCTGAAAGGCTGATTTGTACAGTGCTCTTACACACCACTTCACCTTGAAGACACAAGCTGAATAAAAATATTTATATTCACAAAACAAGAGAATAGGGAATTAAGAGGAAAGAAATTGTTCATGGAGAGCAGCACATGAGAGTAATAGAGAGACTCACTGGTGTAGTGAGAGCACAGCAACACTAGGGCAGTGCCCAGCTGGCTGAGCCCACCTGGCCACCAGGGCAGGATAACAGTGCCTTGAGCTGCCCCAGACTGCCCAGGCAGCAGCACAGGGCACACTGGCTCTGCACAAGCCCTGCCTGGCAGGGACCTGGGCACTGAGCCTCCACTGGCTGCTGTGTGCAGCCAGCTACAGCACCTCTGTCCTTCTGAATTGTGCAGAAGAACTCTGAGAACAATTTACAAGAGATATTTGGGGGATAAAGCCATTTGTGCTCCTTGCCTGTCTGGGGTTTGGCAGACAGAAACAGCAGGGTAGGCATCAGGCTGGGGCGACACAGTATTGTGTTAGCTGGAAGAGTTAACCTTTGAAATTCGAAACAAAATGACACCTTCCTATTTCTGTGTGGGGATACTTATCTAAGCAAGAACTCACAAAAAGGAAGGAATATGTGTGGAAACCCAGGACACACAGGGAATATTTCTCTGTCTGCTCTGGGGTGCCCTGACCCCCAGGGGAGCATTGACTTTGACCCTCATTCATGGAGAAAGTTTCCTAGACTTCAAAATAGACTGGAATCCACAAAAGTGTGAAACAGATTACCGAGAGTAGTGTAGGTGTATCACTTGGTGAGAAATTTAGGTTCTGGGATTTTTACTATGTTGTGGATGGAAGCAAGATGGAGGGCACAGGGTGTTGTCCTGGGTTTCTTCTTCATGCTTCTTCTTCCTTATTCTGCATGGGTTTGGGTGACATTTTGTAATTGGGCAGAAAAGTCCCCATTGTGGGTTCTGTGGGATCAGTTATTGGGTTGAAAGGGAAAATAATCTAGGTTTCAGTTCTTAATTGGATAGTTTAGTCTTAGAAGACCTTGCAACAAGAGATTGTTGGCCATTTTGTGCCTTCTAATGAAAAGCTGCCGAACTCTCAGTAGTGAGACTGTTTTACTGATAAGAAATAATAAACACTTGAGTCCAAACATGAACTACTGTCTCAAGTGCCTTCAGTCTAGACCAACCAACAACTGGTACCACCACAAATATGTACAAGAAGGGGAAACTCTGAATGTGGGTTTGTGCAGGCAAAGCTGCCTTTCTAATTAACTGAGCTCAGCAGGAATTTGAGCTACAGGGAGGCTGAAGGACTGAAAAAAGAACGTCACACTCAGCATTTCCCTGAATGGGACCTTTCAGGAGAAGCTTTCCATGAGCACTTACCATGAATACCAGTTCAGCATATTCAATTAGGAAGTGAAAGAGATAGATTATCAGCGGGGTCTGAAAGAGCAAAAGGGAAATACATATTAAATACTGTCCAGATGAAATACTGGTGATTTGATGAGACAAACTACCAGAGTTGAGCAGTTCTACTAGACACTTCCAAAGGTAATTTCCTTTGGTCTATACTCCAACACTGGTATTTCAGAGCAAAGTGATTAATCAAAGCACACTTACTGGTCTTTTTCCTTGCAAAGTCCTCAATGCACTTTATAAAAGACACCATCAACTCTGAAAATTGTATTTTACTCGAATTTTTTATTTCTACTACAATAGTGGTAGACTTACAATAGAAAGCGTACAAAGACCAGCTTTAGAAAGTAATTTCTTATAGAAAATTTATTTTTCAGGTTGTCTGCAGGTACTTTTGAAAGATTTCCTATATAGCTGGTTCCCCTGCTGTTTAGATGTGTCTTTCATAATGCAAAAAGAAGAAAGCATGTTAAAAACATAAAGCTGTAGGGTTATAATCCTATAATTCTCTTACTCCTAGAGGTTTCCCTTTTGAGGTAAGAGGAAAAGTATGTTTCTGAATTATTCCCATCACACAAAAACTTAGTCTGGAAGGACTATATTTACATGCTGCAAAATCAGCCTTCACTGTGAGAAAATAAATTTCTTTTTAAAAAGTTTAAAAATTATGTGATGGTCTAAATAAGTATGGGGGAATATTTCACAGTCTGGGAGAAATTATGTCTAAAGAAATAGAATTTATTGGAAAGAATCCAGTTTGCAGAGGATACCAGATCCCTGCTTCACCCCAGGCACACAATGTATGAGTGTACCCTCATGTCAGCAAGGGCATTCAAGGGCACAAAACCCCACAGGTGCTTAAGTGCTTTTGTAGGAAAAAGGTGTTTTCAAGATGAGGAATAAATAAACTGCATGCTTGTGCTAGTATTAGAATTTCTGCAAATGCAGAGACTCCAGGTGCTGATACCTTGTAAATCCTATCAGACTCACAGTGACACTGTCCCTGCTTCAGCTTGTGCTGACAGAACAGCTGGGTGTGAGGAGAGTATTTGACTTACTACAGAGTCCCCCTGTCTCAGAGTTTCTTTATGCACTAACAAATACGACACTGCCTGCTCCTGCACAGGGAATTCACTGGGAATATCTGGATTTCCTTGTGCTGGTTACTGTGTAACCACTGCTCTGTGTAACCAGACAACTTAAGGTTCTCTGTAGTCTCTGGGACAAAACAGGCCCCCAGCCTTCTCCAGGCCCTGAGTAGCCAAACTAAGACCCCTGCCACTGGAATATCACATTTAAAACCCAGCATGCAACCAACCAACCTCATGAAAAATAGCTCCAGAGTATGGCGAGACCCCTAAATCCAGCAGAGCTAATCCTTCGACCACTGAAACAGACAAAACACCTGCATTAGAACCCCGGAATGTGCGAAGTCAGAGATCCCCTGAGGGTAAAACTGCAGTTTCAAAATACTGACACTTCTAAGAATATCACCCATAGAATGGGTGAGACCATACCTCCCTGAGCCAACAGCCAGCCAGAACAGATTCACCCCAGCTCTGCGCATGTTCCTGCATGGGCACTCATCACCTATTGATTTGTTTCAGCTAAAAGTGTTCTAGATGAAATCTTTTGCACTTCATATAAATCACATGCATGATATCTCCTCCTTTTGAGTGACTTATTAAGTGACACATGGCATCTATGCTGGAGAAATACTTAATTTCAAGAGGACAGTCACAACATAATATAGAGCTTGAACTGTTTTTCCTCATTAGATGTAGAGAGGCCTCAAAGGTCCAAAATCACAAGGGAAGAACAGAAATGAAAACATATTGCCAGGCAAAGCTAAAAGCTTTATCTCTGTTGAAACTTCCTGACATTTTATAGCCTTAATTCAGCTCCTTTGTGCTCATGGAGTTACAGCTTGCCCTGCAATGCATGTGTGTGCTTTTCCAAGGAATCTCCACCCTCCTGAGCACAGAGGTTCCCTGGACTGAACAGTATGCAGTAAAAGAAGCTAAGGGAAATGGCCCATTTGTTCAGAGGGAAACAGGCAGGACACTGCAGGAAAACACAAGAGGTGCTCAGTTCAGTGACACAGAAATATTTCTGTTAGAAATAGAAATCTATTAGAAATAGATTCTGGCTGCCATCAACTTTCTGTATGGTGACAGCCCAGACTTTTCAAGATGATTCCACTTTTCCCCTTTACTATCTAGATACCTACCTTGATGCTCTAAGGTGGTATTTAGAAAGATTCAATAGCACAGGAAGCATGAAGTGCTATATACTGTGGAGCAGAGGCCTCAGGTCATCAAATATACTTGTACTTTTGAACTTTATTACTTCCGCTCACACTTTTCCACCCCAAAACTGCAAATAATTTTACCTGCATAATAACTGAATACCAAAGGGAAGTCTTCAAAATAAATTAAGGTTCCTCAGGCTCAGATGATACACAGCTGAACATCACTGAAAAGCCCCGATTACCCAGGACCTCACTCAGCCTTCAGCAGAGAATGTGAATGGCCGGTAACGTGTGGGACACCAGCTGACCAAGGGAAGGGAACCGGGGCCCGTGCACGGCACTCTCACGGCCACACGGTGCCCGTGCAGGGCCAGCGGAGCCGAGGCCGATGGAGCCCCGCGCTCTGTGCTGGGCGGGTCGCGCCCGTTCGTGCCCATGTGTGACACCACCGGTGTCCCGGCCAGCTGCGAACCGTGGCACCCCGGCTGTAGCCCCGGCCTGTGCCTCCAGCCGCGTGGCCCTCCCGGCCCCGGAGCCGCCGAGCACCCGCGGGCTCCTCCCGGGCACGGCTGCTCAGGGCCCTTTCGTGCAGCCCTGGTTCGGGCCCGGCCGAACACGGGCCGGCCCTGCCCGGTGCGCAGCCGGGCGCCCGCACCGCGGGGCCGCTTCTAGCCCGCCGCCTGGCCGGGATCAGGCCCTGCCCGCCCGGCTCAGGGGTCTCGCCGCCCCGGCTCCTCCGCGCCGCCCCCGCGGGGCTCGGCCTGGCCAGCAGCGCCTCGGCCCGGGCTCGCCGGGCCTCACCTCGCTTCCAGGCGTTTAGCGGGGACGCCACCTCGACCCGCTCGGCGATGAAGGCGGCGAGGCTGGAGCGGTAGAGCGCGGCGCGCACCGTCACGGCCGCCAGCACCACCAGCACCAAGGGGGCCGCCATCCCGGCGCGCGCTCCGCCGCTGCCGCCGGCTGTAGTTCCCGAGCGGCGCCGGGGAACACGCCGCCAATGAACCGGCCCGCCGGACAGACTACATATCCCAGCGGCCCTCGCACCGCCACTTTCCGGCACAACTCGGAACTACGGCGGCCGCAGGGGGGCTAAATTAGTAGGAGCGCGCTTGGAGCGGCCAGGCGGGAGTCCTGATGCCGTCCCCCGAGCTGTCCCGTTCGGGTCGCCCTTGCCCAGGACGGCCACAAGGGACAGCCCTTCCTCCGCCAGAGGACAGGGATGGGTCTGTCCTCGAGTGGCATCGCGCTCCCCGCGGGCCGTCCATACCGCCTGTGGATCTCATTTGCCTCTGGATGAGAGCTCTGCCCAGCCGGGGCAAGGCCTGGCGGGCTGGGCCCAGCTCGGACGAGGAGCGTCGGTGGCTTCTGAGCTGTTTGGAAGTCCCCTCAGACAGTTCTTTATTTTTCAGGTATTTCACAGACCCTCATGGTATCTGCCTGCGTGTTGGCTGGGCTGTGGAGACAGTCAGGGCTGTTGTGAGCACGCTGATTTGGTTTCAGAAGGCTCTTGGCAGACCCAGGTTCTCAGTCTGTGTGGTTTCCACAGCTCCAGAGCTTAAGAGTTCTGGGAGACTTTCAATCACCCACCTTCCCAGCATCAACCTCCGTGTTGTTCTCCAACAACTGCTCCTCCATCCTCATCCCTGGGTACGTGTGCAGCCCGTTCACACAATCTCACACAAAAATAGCCTTTACAACACTTATCTGAATGGAGGCAGGTGGAAGGAAGACATGATAATCTCCTAAAAATGAGCAACAGTAAAAAACACATTTCACATGGTATGTGAAGACAGTAATTTTTCATGTAATTAAAACTAGGCTTTGCTGAATGTACTGGGCTTGCCATTGAAAAGAGCTGGATAATATCTAAGCCAACATTTATGTTGGATTTATGCAGCCTCTGATCTGTAGAGTTGCACCCATCTGCAGAAATGGAGAAAGGCTGAATTCTTCTGGGACGTGGTCCCTAAAGGCCCAGGTGACCCAGTATGTACTGTCCCCAGGACTGGAGAGGCTGGTAGGGTTAGGTGCTCAGTCACATAAACTTTCTGGACCATGGCTGCTTGGAACATGAATCCCTTCATGCTACAAAGCCATCTTCAGATGGTCCCTGGACTGTTTCCTGCTGTGCTCGCTGCCGCACTGGGGTTCAGCTGCTGCCTTTGTAGGGCTTCTCTCATCCACTGCCACAGACAGCAGAGCTGGTGCTGAGGCCATAAGGAGAGCTCCAGTGCTCAGCCTGCCATGTGGTAGCTGCTCTGCTCTCAGGCTCTCTGGCACAAAGGTGTGGGTTGTGCTGGTAAAGCTGCTCTGAGAGTGTGGCTCTGGCTGGCCCTGGGATTTGATGGCCCCAGGACTGACTGAGCCTACCATATCCTCTGGTAAATCAGGGTGAATTCATTCAAGTTAATTTATTTGTGCAAGCATCTGTAAATAGGAAGTCAGAAATGCTGATTCTTCTTTGCAGCTGTTCACAATGGTATCTTGAGTTTTCTGATCAGAAATGCTCTTTTTGGTGTGCTGGTTCTCTCCAAATGACAGTTCTGATCCAAGTACTTGACAGCTATTGCCTGTGACTGCTGCTTTGCTGAGTGACTGGTACACAGTAGTGTGGTTAAAGCTGCACTGCTCCAGGGTGCTGATTTTGCCAGTTTGAGCTGTGCCATGTGCTGCCCAGCAGTGTCTGATGCAGCCCTGGGAAGATTCAGATAAGCCCCAAGGAGTCAGATGTAGAATCATGCCACTACAGTTGTTCTGTGTTTAATTAGTGTGCAAAGCCAACCAAAAAGAAAGGTCAAAGAATAATTAATGATAAATGCAGCAATGCTTTCTGGAGCATGAGTTTGCTGCAGCATTTCTCCAGGAGGAGATCCTAGGGCTAGCAATGGAGGGAAATTCCTAAACTAATTGACATATTCAGCCCTCTCAAAGCATCAAATACATCAGGCAAATATGAGAGAGTTGAGTACCAGTTGCTATCTGATGGCCACTAATCTGGGGGTTAGAGCTGCCTTGAGGAGTTGCAGTAAACACACACACACACACACACACACACACACACACACACTGTGATGCTGCCTTTTGTCTGGCAGTAACTTCTGAAGCCACTCTCAGCCTAATGAGATGAAGGAACAGACCTTTAAAACCCTTGAGGTCCTTACAGGCTTTATGGAAATCAAGGGAAGTTTCAGGAGACCCATGCTGGGGTGGGTTTTGCACAGGCAATAGTTTGGGACCTGGCAGTGCTGTTGTGCTGCTCCAAGTCAGCTGGCACAGCAGTGCAGGGGCAGAGAGGGATGACACAGAACAGAGGAGAATTCTTGGGGCTGTCAGAGACTCATACTGAGCTGAACGGAGACTTCCAGCAAGGAGCTGAAAGGACACACACCAGAAAACTGAGAAAACTCTGGTTTACTTGGTTAGTGCAGCAGTTTGTTTTTTTTTTTTTTCCAAAGGCATAAACCTGATCTTCTGAGTCCTGGTGTTTACCCCAAACTGATGATAGTTTTTGCAGCACTGGGGCATTTACTGGCTATCCTTTATTCCTGAAATTCCTTGACTCTGCAAGTGATTTGGTGGGGCCATGCACAGAGGGCTGGGTGTGCTAAGGCCTGTGAGCAGTCTGAGGAGCTGCAGTTTGGGATCTCCTGCCGTGATGCCAGCAGCAGGGTGACAGTGTGACAGTGGAACACTTGTTGGTCCACACAGGGAGCAGCAAATGCAGCTCGCAGGGGGACCTTCACACTGCCTGTCCTGCAGCCTCCAGGTGTTGTTGCCTTACAAAGAGAAGATCTGATGGAGCCAAACATGCAATAGAGCTGCTGCTGCTGCTGCTGCTGCTGCTGGGAGCTCTGCGCTCCCTCGGTCGCGCTGCCCACGCCAGGCACCCACGTAGAGCACACGGGGGATGGGTGAATTCAACCTGGGCTTGTTGCATCACAGAACTTTCATAAAACACTCTGTTTAACACTGAGCCAATTCAGGGATGATTCATCTTTGTTCCTGCAAACAGATGCTGGTATGGGCACTTCTTGTGTGCCCTGCTGGAATTATGCAATGGTGACATTTTTTGGGATAAACAAGCCACTCCTTTTCCTGACTCACTGTACAAATTAGGTGTTCTGATTCCTGAGGCACCCTCCAGTCCTCCCTGGCAACTCTTCCAGCCTAATGCAGGTTTTTTTTTTGCATTTGGGAGACCACAGCTTTGTTGTTATTCTGAGATTTCATCAGGGCTCTGTGCAATGACTTACATATCTCAGGGATGCTTCCTGTTCCTGTGGGATGTATCCCACCCTATCCCATGTCCCAGGGGTAATTTTTACCCACTGTTTATTTTGGCCAAGCTGTCATGTTTTATTTTCATAGTCAACCACTTCAGTGTTATACTTTGTTTCCTTCTGCCTTTCCCACCACAGACCTTGCACAGCAGTAGTTATTGCATTGTAGTCATTAGGGCTCCTCACTGGGTTTGGTGTTCCTGAGAAAGTCACATTTACATATCTTATCTCACTGTACTGGGGTCCTTTACTGATAAACATTTGAGTTGCTTTTGCCTCTTTTCAAGTTGTCTTCTGTTGGAGTTTATTGACTAGAACACCTGACAGCTTTTCGGCTTGTCAGTGAAAAAATATCCATAAATTCATATGGCTTTAATTTTTGTGGGCTACATGACTACTCATTACTTCTTTTTTTCTGGGGGTTCATGGGTAAAAACTGCTGTTAAATTGAAGGGTTTTGCTGTTTCTAGGAATTGCTGAGAGAAAGGTTAGTGCCTTTTATTTATTAACTTGGAAAACAACAGATTTTCCCAGCAGTCTGCAATACCACTGCTGCAGGTATCTTCCAGTCTTTCTGCTGCTAGCTGACAGAAGACAGCATGAGGTTTGTCGTCTTTTATGGAGGTTAGCAGTGGTCTGGATCAAAAACAGAACCTGAGCAGCTGGTCTTTCTTTGGGTTCAGAGACAGGAGAAAATAAACTGCACTTCAGACTTCTTCGACTGGCTTCATGTACCAGAACTTCCTTACATGTAAGACAGATATTTTTGTAAGAAAGCAAATCAACTTTTTCTCAGTGCCCAGAAAGATTGTATTTCTGCTTTGAATATTTTTCAGAGTGAGTTTTAAATGGCAATGTTAAAAAAAAAATCCCCAAAGATTAAATTCCTGCCAGCTAAGTTAAGGCAATTAATCATCTAGTGGAAGCTTGTCATCTACATGAGGGAAGAGATGGGCTTGTGCAGAGAGCTCCAAACTCACCTCAGACGTCTCTCCTGGGTGGTGAAGGGATGAGCTCATGACATGAGCTCAACACTGAAACTCTAGGCACCTGAAGTTAGGCAAGAGGAATCAAAGGGGTCTGATAAACAGCACTGTTCAGCTTTTGGGCACTGGCTAAACAACTCACCATGACATCTCTAAAAAATGGGCTGTACAGATGCAGTATGCTGAGGACATGGCTGAGCATTCACAGCCAGCAGCACCATTTCCTTCCTCCATTTCAAGTGAAAGAAAACCAGGTGGGTCTGTAACAGCTGGAGCAAAGAGAGGCTGGAGAGGCAAAGTGGGTTATGAACAGCAGCTCTGTGTATCACACTCTGTTTCTTTGCCATGTTTTCCTCTATGGGAAGCCAGTAGGAAGCAGATCTGTGAATCCCACTTGGATCTGCCCCACATTCCTGAGCTCTGCCCTGTCCCAGCTGAGGAGGAGCTGCTGGTGACAGCCAGCCAGGGACAGTGGGGAAGGACAAGTGCTTCCTCAGGCAGGTTTCTTCCCGCTGCCCAGGCACTGCTTGTCACTCAGTGCCTCTGGGAGCAGGAGCTGCTGCTGGGTTCACCCTCCT